AAGCAGTTTTCTTTTCACAGTCATAGCTCAAGAACCGCTTGATGGATTTTAATGTTTGAGGTATCAAATTAAAGGTACATATTTTCATGTAGATGTGCAAATACGTCTCAGAATATTAAGAAAGGGCATCACTTAAGTACAGTTAAGGGCTAAAGTTTGGAAAGTGGCGCCATCTGTTGACATTTGATTAAACTCATTTCCCTTTGTTTACAAATAACATATGGACGTAGTTTGAAATAGTTTTTAAGGTTAACCACAAACTGCAGGACTTAAAACTTCCATAGAGCAAAGCTGGAATTTATATTGTGTTTCAATCTGTTAACTAAGTCTGGTTCATAATGAAGAGACTAGACAACAAAGTGTTTAAGAATAAATATTTAATTCTTTTTAGTTTTTAAGTTTGACCATAGACTGCAGGACTTATTTATTCCAGAGCAAAGCCGGAATTCCATATTTTTATCTAAACATCTGTTAACTATATCTGTTTCATAAATAAAGAGTTTCCTATCAAGACTTGACAACAAATTGTTTGTAAATAGGTGAATGTATTTACCTTTCATCATATTTTACTGAATTATCGAGTTGTTTTGGTTACAGTTTGGTGTGATGAAATAAATGTTTGAAAGTGATTATTTCCAGTGCAGTTACATCACAATATCATGTAATTTACAATGTGTATAACAATTCCGTTGTAGTGTTTTCTGTTGTTTTGTTGACTTTCGTAATTCATCTAAATTTAAAATAATATGCTACCAGTAAGACGAAGACTGTGAGTGGCTGGAGGAAACGCGAACGTGGCCGCTTGCATCAATCTCCCAATGTATCATTTTAAGATTACAGAGTTTCAACCATCGTGTGGGATATGTCTAACCTTCACAAATGAACTTTAAATATTTACATTGTGGTGGCTTACATTTTAAGCAAAAAAAAAAAGAGTCTGGCCTATACAGTTCAACGTTACTCTTTGTTGCCATAAATGAGAGAACCATTTACCTCATCTTCGGAATTCACCATACTTTCAGGAACTTATTGGAAACTCCCAATCTGAAATCAGGGCTGTGAGGCTTGGATCTAGAAATTATTAGGATAAAATTTGTCAATTCAATTCCGCCTTTGCCATGGTCAGCTCTGAAGCTCATTTAGATGAGAGGATCATACCTAGGGGATCTACAATTTCAAGATCCATGACACTTGAAAGGAAAGATTCAATGATAAAATATGTGGGAAAAAGGGTCACATTGCCAACCCATTTGCCCAATCTTTTAAAACTGTGGCAAAAAAGTGTAGGGACGAGAGCTCTGAGGAGTTATGGGAGATTCTTATGTACATAATAAGAGACAAAATAATTGGCTTTCCTCGCTACAATGGTGCGACCTGTATAAATGTCGCCGCTATTTTTAAAGCTGAAAACAGAGGACCACCAGACAAAAAGCATCAGTCATAGACTTTAGAATTACTCTTTGATTGAGGTCTTGCTGTTTATGTTTTTAGTTGTTTATTTTTTTTATTACAAGTTGCAGTTTTGCTCGATTTTGAGCAACAGGTTATCTAGTTTTATTAAATGTATGAATAAATACATTTAATTGGGTTCTCTTCTCTCAGGTTGAAGAAAATCTTAAATGTCTAAAATTTTTAATAGGATGCTATAAAGACTAGTGTATAGTTTCCAGATTGACACTATACCCCAGTAATTTATTAAAATTTTAAATTTCTTTATATAAAACAACTAACTATATTCTATGCATTGACACTCGTGTTATGTTTATTAAATTTCTTATTAAACTTTGAAATAACTGAAAACTTTTTTAGTCAGTATGTTCTTTGTGCCAACTTATCAACCACTGTTTACATAATTTCTTTGTTAAAATACAATTGTTAGAAAATGTTAGTGAACATGACTCGGTTTATTTATCAGGGATTGTTGTTCATGCAGTGTTAGCTAATAATTGACGTTTTATAGACAGGTTGACTTAAACAGAAGCAATATCTGGATTCTTTCAGTCTCTCATCAAAACTTAAAAATGTTAGTGGTGTATAATAGTTCTACAGACAAAAGCACACATCATAAACTGTTCATAAACATATTCAACAATAGATACTTTTAAATAGTTTATACTTTTCAATGAAATGGTGACCATACAAAGTAGGTATTTTAAGCCAAGTGTGAATGGGGTTGAGTGTAGCATGAGTGGCATACAGTATCAGTACTGATCACAACAGCTTTGACTTGTGTTGGTGTGTATGTGTATTTGTACACACTGTTGTGGCAGTGTGGATGCAGGCTGTACCCAGTCCCCATTATCACTCTCCCTCCTGTCTGTCCCTTATCCCTATTCCCTATCCCTTCCCTTATATTGACCCAGGAATAGTGTTCCCCCATTACAACAGCTCTCTCAGTCTTCAGTCTTATCCATGGTTCAATACAATATTCTACATCACCTTACCTGTTTTACATAGTAGCAAATAAACATTATCTAACTTATTTATTTTAATATAATTGTCCTTTGCTAAGCACTGTGGGAAGATAAGTTAGATACTTACCATTCTGTTTAATAATATACCTGGATCTATTCAAGGGTCATTATAGGCTTGAAAAATAAAGTATCAAATGCAACTTTAATGATAGGCCTATTACAAAAATATTACTGAATAAATAAACGGTGAGCATTTTTTCGTACAAAAATGCCGTGTATTATCGGTTCAATATCGAAATACTAAGTAACGATATTATTTAGGATCAAATGGGTTCGATTCAATTGATTGATGGTTAAAAATGAATGTAAATTGTAATGAACACCATTACAGCAACAATACGTGGTGCTTCCATCGGTGTTCTTGATGTAGTGGTTAGAGCATTGGGCTGATAACCAAGAGGTAGCGAGTTCGAAACCTACCGGTGGCACTAACTTTTTGTCAGAGATTTTGTGTAGAATGTGATTACTTCTTAGTTTGAGAACTACTAGAATTTGAGGCATTTATAATTTTATTTTATGAACAGAACTATATTTTATTTAATTAATCTATAATATATAAAATCCAATGTATGTTTGTATATTTGTATGTTTGTATATTTGTATGTTTGTCCTTTATGGACTCCGAAACCGCTCGACAGATTGTAATGAAACTTTTAGGCATTATTAAGCATTATTCAAGGATGGTTTGTGTGAAGTTTGGTGCAGATCCGTCAATAGGGCTCCGCCCCAGTGGCTCTGGAGTTTCCCATGTTAACCTTATGAGTACTCATATTTAAATGGAATTAAAGAATCTTAACAGCTGGTGCAGCTAAACAATTTGATTCTGTGATGTTCAATAGCATTAAAAAGTTAATAGGTTTACCAACAGGGTGCAGCACTATATTTTTTTTTAATTTATGAGAACAGCTAATTTGCAACCAAAAAGTGAGTGAGCGTAGCGAACGAACTTCAACCTGGAGACGAGTTAGCGTAGCGAACGAGCTAACCTGAAGGCAAGTGAGCGCAGCGAACGAGCTCCAACCTAAAGGTGAGTGAGCGTAGCGAACGAACTTCAACCAGGACGTGATTGAGCCATGCGAACGAGCTCATCTTGAAAATGAACGAGCATGTGACATAAAACCACAATAGGACAGGACGACGTCTGTCGGGCCAGCTAGTATATATATGAATTTGAACAGATGGTGTTTTGGCCTCTGGGGACATCAAAACGAAAAATTAAATCGGTCCCGGGTCCAGGTCTTACCATGAGACCTATGGTAATAGCTTATTCCCTATATGTGCAATTTGCTAAAAATAAACAAACCTATTTAAATTAAAGAAAATTCTAAAAGAGCATATAATAAATCTAGCATTATATTCTTTTGATGAGTTTTCCACCTGCCATAAATAGAAATAGTATTTTTTATTTTAAGTATTCTGACACTATTCACTGTACCACCAATGTACATGATTTTTATGACGAATAAAGATGTTTGAATATGAATATATGAATAATATAATACAAAAAATTTAATGATATTGTTTATTAATGATTAGCCTACATTATTTTTTTATTGGTAGTTTTATCGTATTGTGATTAGTTTAATTCACTGTTTTACAAAAATCTATCTTTATTAATTATTGGCACATAGTTGTGTATCATGGCTTTGTAAAGGTCTGATGTTTGTGTGTTTATAAAAATGTTAACATTTGGGATTGAGAATGAGACTCTCAGAGTTTTTACACTCCCATCTTCTAAGGCGATGCTGCTGTAGTTAATTATTCCTTTCTCCCTCAATTGACTTTTAAATGAGTCTAGAAAGCTGCACTCATTACAGAAACCATGAGTTCACAGAGGAAATGGGGCTTCAAACTGTGTTTGCACAATAAAGTGAAATTTAGGATATGGCTCTGGACTTTTTTATTATAAAATAAAACCGCGTTAGGGCCTGGTTAGGGCATAAAGTTTGTTCAAAATAGTGATTCAACAAATTATTAATGGGAGGAAGTAATAATGAAAACTAACTGAATGTTATGTATAATTAACGGGATTCCAAATATCATCATCTTTACCATTTCTTATTGTTATTAAAATACTGTAAGCATTAGTTAGAAATAGTTAATGGTAGATCATTGTTAACGTTATTGCTATTGGTTTTGATCTCACACACGCAAATCAACATGTTTGAACAATTTATTCATGAGCAGTTTGCTAAAATTGTTCACCAAATTTCTAAATCATTCATAAAATCAGATGGGTTTCTGTCAAAATTTATCAAGCAACATAATTACAGCCAAAATGATATTTATTAATAATATTGTTTCTAGAAATTATGGTACCATAATATAATGATAGGTTTGACCCTTGTCTATTCAATCTTCCCCTGCCATCCTCACATGTCCTCTCCCCCATCATCAACTGTGCTAGCATCACTATACGACCACCACCTGTATAAACATGCAAGTGTGTGAGAGATCTGTTTGGTCTCAAATTAAGTTCTGGTTATTGCACATTGCTGGTTTTATTATGTTTTATGTTTGTTACAGGACTAAAATACCTACATTCAGCCAGAATTCTACACAGAGACATAAAGCCCGGCAACCTTCTTGTTAACAGCAATTGTGTTCTAAAGGTGGGTGTTAAACATTATTTTACTTTATCTGTTGTATCTAATTTACTGATAGTTGGTTATCTTCTAATATGTATTAAGTGTTATTACTTTTCATCTTAACACATTGAGTCACCGAGGACCGGCCGCCCAATGCGCGCAGAGCACATGCACAATTTATTGACTTTGAACATTTATTGGCCTTTTTCTTTTGTGTTTTTGCTTTTCATACGAGACGAACACAATATTTTATAGTTTATTATTTTATTTTATACAGGATGATTGATATAAGTGTGCCAGCTGGTTTATTAAAAAACTATAAGAGATATCAAAAAAAGTTAAATGGTAAGTGCCTTAGACTTTTTATTAAAAAAATGTTTGTCGAGTCGAAAAAAATATTTTAGCCGCCATTTTTCCAATATAGCAGCCAACTTTGATTTTTTTATGGAACACCCTGTATTTTATGATGTATTCCGGTAGAAAATGTAATTTTAAGACAATTTTACTCTTGTGTTTTTTTTTTTTCATAAACCTAACTGTTTCAAAGATAATAATGGTTGAAGTTATGAAATTTGTAATAGTTTTCGAATAAAACAGCTGGCATGCTTGCTTAGGCCTTTATTGAAACTCTTTCTCATGCCGAAATTTCAAAACTTTAACCATTATTATCTTTGAAACGGTTAGGTTTATGAAAAAAACACAAGAGTAAAATTGTCTTAAAATTATATTTTCTACCGGAATACATCATAAAATACTGTTCCATAAGAAAAATCAAAGTTGGCGGCTATATTGGAAAAAGGCGGCTAAAATATTTTTTTTTTTACTTGACTGCATTTTTTAAAATAAAAAATCCAAGGCACTTACCATTTAACTTTTTTTGATATCTCTTATAGTTTTTGAATAAAACAGCTGTCACACTTATATCAATTACCCTGTATATACCTTTAACAAAGATGGACTTCCCAATACCAAATTGTTATCAGCAGTTCCTAGATTCACTGTTATTGTAATAAACAATGGTTGGGAGGGAGGAAGGTCATCAATTTGAGACACCTTACGTTGGACACCATGTATAGTTGTAAATATTAGTCGTTATAGTGCTATTTAACATTTTTAGTTTAAAAAACAGTGTTTGTGAGACCCAAAATTGAGTATTTTCATCAACACAAGATAGTCCCTCAATATCACAGGTTCCAAATAGTGAAATAAATCGATCAAAACTAATACGGTTTCTTAAAAAAAATAGATTTTGAAGAAAATAGTAAAATTTATGTTTGCCGCTTAATTCAAATGTGGTATATTCATTTTGTCTCATCTTTATATCTTTGAGCAGGGAAAAACTGCTCATAACACTGTTTTTGACCTGGATTCTCGCTTCTGGCAACAAAAAATTAGATTTTATGTATAAAAATGTCAGGCACCGGGGAAGGACCCACTATATTTACCGCACTCATTGTGTTAATATACTCTATCGCTGTTCATCTATCCTCTAACTAGACAGTGCAGTAATTGATGTCGAGGTGTATTGCAGATCTGTGACTTTGGCCTGGCACGTGTAGAGGAGCCGGACCAGTGCAAGAACATGACTCAGGAGGTGGTGACTCAGTACTACCGAGCCCCAGAGATCCTCATGGGTGCCAGACACTACACGGCCGCAGTAGATGTGTGGAGTGTCGGATGTATCTTTGGTGAACTGCTTGGTCGCAGAATATTGTTCCAAGCGCAAAGTCCAGTACAACAGGTGAGCTGCTCGCTTTGGATCACAGAAAATGTTTACATCCTTTCCAATTTTTGTGGTGGGAATCTAAAAGTAATATTTTGGAGTATCACCTTAAAAATTTACTCAATTTGTTTTTTCTTAAAAAATATATAGAATATATATTATATTGAGTCTTAGTACAAAAGCGTTCTGCTTTTTTGTTGTCTGTTTTAACATCATTTACATCTTTTAAGTTTTGGGACCAGGCAGCATAAAATCTTCTCCATCAGGGAATATCAAGTGATAAGGTAGTATCAAATAATGCAAGGCCAGATTTAAATGGACCCTATGCTCTGCTTGTGGTGCAGGCCTCGGGCATATTGTTTTGGGGGATATATAGAATACTTGGGAACCAGGAAAATGAAACGGCCCTCGCTTGGGAAGATGTAAAAAACAGGCGTAAACAAGTGACTTCCGGAAGAATTTGAACTAAATATTTTGTATTGTCTGCTTTGAAACAAATAATTCTTTGTCAGTTGTCACAAAATAATTGTACACATATGGATGATAAGTGTTAAAGACAGTAGACAATTTTAATATTGTTAACAATTATAACAGTCTAGTATCAAGTATTTAGCAGTGATGTAGTGAGGTGGTGGTGGAAAGGCCTGGAACAGTGTTTATCTCTGCTTATTGATGTTAGTGTTTTTTCCAAGTCATGACTTAACAATGGTTAAATTGGGTTTTAACACTTATTAGGTAATAGCATTCAAATCTTTTAAATATGTCTGATACGGCAGTGAAATAGTAAATGTTTCCTATTATAGCAACAAAACCTTGAACATTTTCCATGGTTGTTATTTTGTGATCACATCAAAATCATGATTAGCTCCTGCGATCACGTTGAAATTGTTATCAGTTCTCAGACTAGAGACTGTATTCCCTCACTGGAAAATTTTAAGTGCGTTTTTAAGCATTAATCGTACTGTTTACAATAACAAAACATGACCAGTGACATAATTTGTAAATTGTAATTTGGGGGGGGGGGCTTTGTGGTGCGGGCACTTAGGCGCCCGCCTATGTCTAAATTTGACCCTGAAATAATGAGTAGGTTTGATATTTTATTTTGACTTGTGAGAAAGGTAAGTACAGATTGAAATTATCCCTCAATCAACCACAACAAAACTCAATTATGCCACTTACAACAAGCCATTACCTCATCAATAACTAAAAAATAATTGTTTGAACTTGAACAAACATGGTCGGTTAAAATTTGTAATTTCATACATTCAATAATTTTGTATCAAGTTTCTTAAAATTGTTAATTTTGTCCTATACCAAATAATTTCTTTATCATTAATCACTCCTCAGAAAGTCATCCTTAATCTATAATGATAGGACAGGCCTAATATTGGCTCAACTTAACTTATTTGTATAATTCCATTAATATATTGTTCAGTAATTAATCATGAATAATATCCTTAGCCTATTTTTGAACAAAGCCCACAACTCTATTAATATTTGATAATTTGCAAAAACATATTCATGACATACATCATTAAATGTAAAGGTGCGTCAACACTTGACAAACAATGTTCGCTAACATGTCGCTGTTTGCCAGCGAACGTTCGATGTTCGTTAAGTGTGGATGCATCGCGACGAACGTTCGGAGAGCGAGAGTGGGAGTAGGGTGTCGCAATTATTGTTAAGCCTAAATGTTCGCTCCATGAGCAAACTTTTGTCCAGTTCAGAGATAGCAGCCCTTTGTGTTGTAGCCAAATTTGTGTTAAAAGTATATCAACTATATGATGGTGACTGCAACACAACGTGTTTACCATCAAAAGCAGCTAGAAAGTGGTCGAATTGCTACTTACTTCAATATTCGTTGGCAACCACAACCCATTCTTCAGCTGAAGACGGCGTCTTTACATATTAGCAAGATAATGCACGAACTAATGCTGATAATGTAATATGCAGCAGAAACAACAGTACAATCAAGTAAAAGACGACGCCTACGCACATCCATCTTAACTCGAAAAACCTAAATACTTAGTTTAGGGTGAACACCATATTTTTTCTGTCGAACAGTTTAAATATTGTTCCAGCAATTGTTCGGCAAACATTCAGAGAACACTTTTTCCTAGTTCGGCGTACAAACGTACATTTTCGTCGCAAACGTTCGCCAATTGTGGGTGCAGTTTAAGAGAATTGCAATATAACAAAATTTCATATAATATAATTAAAAACTACTCCTTAAGGAATCTAAATCAAGTGATCAGTATTATCATACCATGTGTTCAACAATAGACTCCTGTGAACATTCCAGAGTGACTTCCAAAATGTGCAGTTGCTAATAGGCTAACTACACTTTTTAAAGAAGAAACCAGATTTTATCTAGTTCATCTCTTGAAGAAAATTTAATTAATTAACACCTCAAGAGGACATAATTTCAACTTTTATCTTCAAACTTAAGTTAACCTTTCTTTTTAAAACTATTAGTAAATTCAGTGGACATTTTGGACTTACCTTTTGGACGACACCATAATTTGATTTCATCGTTGGAATATTGTAAGTTGTACCTTAATTATTTTGACATTAGCGAACGTCATTAGCCGTTATTAAATGACAAGAGTTTCTGAAGCGAAAAGATAGAGCAAATTCCATAAATTAGCGTGCATTACCTATATAAAAATGAAATCGTCTGCGTTATTTGTGTTATGACCCTATAAAAACTGTACATTTCTGTAATGTGAATTAAATTTTAATCTTTTTGTCTTTGTAACCTTTTTATGAAACCTATGGTTTTTGAGCTATTAACACGTTAAGTGCCACGCCGCCCCGATCGGACCGGCACAGGTAGGCCGGGCGGAGTGACGCGCCGCTCCGATCGGGGCGGCGCCAGGGTTTTGCAGTGTTTCACCAAATCGCCGCTAGAGTTCACTGGTGGACTACTAGCGGCAATCTGATGAACTTAATCGGTAAAGTACATCCCGTGCCTCACAGATGGCGTTGCCGTAGCCTTGTATTGCTGCCACAGCCTTCTGTAGGGACTTGTAAATTTGGTCTAAAAGCGCCGGTCAAATCGGACCGGCGCGGTTTGACTTCACGTAACTGTTGTACATTTGATTTGATATAAGTTGTAATGGACTACAAATACACCACTAATAGTAATAATTTACTAAAGCTAAAAAAGTAATTGTTATTTGACCTCAAAAATAATTCATAAATATCTTTCCACAGTAATTAAATCACATACTATTTGTCATTTTTGGGTGAGATTGAAAAAAACATTTTATTTTTATAAAAATTTATTGACAGAACATTTTTAACTATGTTATAACAAAAATACAAGATTTAAATTCATGGGCAATGCCGTGGAAAATACAAAAGTGTTTGTTGCCTTATGCCATAGGTGTAAAAAAAATAATTTTTAAAAACAAGATACACCACTCACTTTAATTCCCCATTACGGTGAGTATAGTTTTTTGCTTTCCTGAAAATAAAAATGTTTATAATGTCGACCAGTAACGTATACCCGTCCCATACCATTGGTATTTTTTTACAAACATAGAAGTGACAACACCTGTCATTGGCGAGCTCAAGCTGTTAATTATCTCTAGTCTTCATTGTGTTATGTCTCGCTGATCTCATTACTTTGCAATGGTTCCCTTGAATTGTGTGCTAGATTAAGTTTTCTTAATTTATTTGAAACTATCACAGTGTATTCATCTCATCAAGATTAGATCTAATCTGGAAATTTGTATTGATTTCATTTTGTAATATCACTACAAATACAATTACTGATTGACTGCGACATATTTTTGTTTATGACATGTTTTTGTTCATGTTTTCCAAATTAGTGGAGGATTGGGGGGTTTTATTTAGCGTAACCACATGCTACATTATCATTGTGTTTGCTTAGGGTGGTTTGTGATTTGAAAAAAACTATTCTTTGAACTTATGGACGGCTTTACTTCATTTGTAGAACTCCAAATCTCAATCTGAAATATAAAAATGGTTTAAAAGCTGTAGAATTTTCCCCAGTGATAAGTCTGTGTTTATTTTTTTACATTTGCCTAAAGAGATGTTTTATTTTTAGAATCCCCATCATATCCATCATCAGTGCACCCAAATCCCAAGATTATTCCACAGCGTTCAACCATCGTATGCTTTCACTTAGGGCGAACAAGTCACTTGTGTTGTTGTATTACTCAACATAAGTAACTTGTATTTTTGTGTGTCTACTTTACATACAAATTATATTTTTTTCATTTTTCTTGTATTTTCTGAAAGAAATTGTTTTTGTCTTACATTGAGCAGGTTTATCGACCCATCCCTATCCAGAAACAATACAATGCTTGTTGTGAGCCAGTGCGATGTTCTCTTGGCTTGTCTTTCCGCTTACCCCAGTTTAGAATAATCGTTTTAACTAAAAAAGAACTCAGTTTTAAAAAGTTTTCTCTTCTTAGTACCTACATATCACGAATCCCAATTGTGTTAACCCTTCTAATATTACTCTCTAGTAATGATATCTTTTTGATTGACAGCTGGAGCTGATAACAGAGTTACTTGGCACACCATCACTAGAAGACATGAGACATGCGTGTGAAGGTGCCAGATCTCATATGTTGAGACAGAGAGTCAAGCCTCAGTCGCTGTCAGCTCTGTACACTCTCTCCTCCCAGGCCACTCATGAGGCTGTGCATCTCCTTTGTCAGATGCTTGTCTTTGACCCGGTAAGTTTATAAGACATGTGTGTGAAGGTGCCAGATCTCATATGTTGAGACAGAGAGTCAAGCCTCAGTCGCTGTCAGCTCTTTACACTCTCTCCTCCCAGGCCACTCATGAGGCTGTGCATCTCCTTTGTCAGATGCTTGTCTTTGACCCGGTAAGTTTATAAGACATGTGTGTGAAGGTGCCAGATCTCATATGTTGAGGCAGAGAGTCAAGCCTCAGTTGCTGTCAGCTCTGTACACTCTCTCCTCCCAGGCCACTCATGAGGCTGTGCATCTCCTTTGTCAGATGCTTGTCTTTGACCCGGTAAGTTTATAAGACATGCGTGTGAAGGTGCCAGATCTCATATGTTGAGACAGAGAGTCAAGCCTCAGTCACTGTCAGCTCTGTACACTCTCTCCTCCCAGGCCACTCATGAGGCTGTGCATCTCCTTTGTCAGATGCTTGTCTTTGACCCGGTAAGTTTATAAGACATGTGTGTGAAGGTGCCAGATCTCATATGTTGAGACAGAGAGTCAAGCCTCAGTCGCTGTCAGCTCTGTACACTCTCTCCTCCCAGGCCACTCATGAGGCTGTGCATCTCCTTTGTCAGATGCTTGTCTTTGACCCGGTAAGTTTATAAGACATGCGTGTGAAGGTGCCAGATCTCATATGTTGAGACAGAGAGTCAAGCCTCAGTCACTGTCAGCTCTGTACACTCTCTCCTCCGAGGCCACTCATGAGGCTGTGCATCTCCTTTGTCAGATGCTTGTCTTTGACCCGGTAAGTTTATAAGACATGTGTGTGAAGGTGCCAGATCCCATATGTTGAGGCAGAGAGTCAAGCCTCAGTCACTGTCAGCTCTGTACACTCTCTCCTCCCAGGCCACTCATGAGGCTGTGCATCTCCTTTGTCAGATGTTTGTCTTTGACCCGGTAAGTTTATAAGACATGTGTGTGAAGGTGCCAGATCCCATATGTTGAGGCAGAGAGTCAAGCCTCAGTCACTGTCAGCTCTGTACACTCTCTCCTCCCAGGCCACTCATGAGCCTGTGCATCTCCTTTGTCAGATGTTTGTCTTTGACCCGGTAAGTTTATAAGACATGTGTGTGAAGGTGCCAGATCTCATATGTTGAGGCAGAGAGTCAAGCCTCAGTCACTGTCAGCTCTGTACACTCTCTCCTCCCAGGCCACTCATGAGGCTGTGCATCTCCTTTGTCAGATGCTTGTCTTTGACCCGGTAAGTTTATAAGACATGCGTGTGAAGGTGCCAGATCTCATATGTTGAGACAGAGAGTCAAGCCTCAGTCACTGTCAGCTCTGTACACTCTCTCCTCCCAGGCCACTCATGAGGCTGTGCATCTCCTTTGTCAGATGCTTGTCTTTGACCTGGTAAGTTTATAAGACATGTGTGTGAAGGTGCCAGATCTCATATGTTGAGGCAGAGAGTCAAGCCCCAGTCACTGTCAGCTCTGTACACTCTCTCCTCCCAGGCCACTCATGAGGCTGTGCATCTCCTTTGTCAGATGCTTGTCTTTGACCCGGTAAGTTTATAAGATATGTGTGTGAAGGTGCCAGATCTCATATGTTGAGGCAGAGAGTCAAGCCTCAGTCGCTGTCAGCTCTGTACACTCTCTCCTCCCAGGCCACTCATGAGGCTGTGCATCTCCTTTGTCAGATGCTTGTCTTTGACCCGGTAAGTTTATAAGACATGTGTGTGAAGGTGCCAGATCTCATATGTTGAGGCAGAGAGTCAAGCCTCAGTCACTGTCAGCTCTGTACACTCTCTCCTCCCAGGCCACTCATGAGGCTGTGCATCTCCTTTGTCAGATGCTTGTCTTTGACCCGGTAAGTTTATAAGACATGCGTGTGAAGGAGCCAGATCTCATATGTTGAGACAGAGAGTCAAGCCTCAGTCGCTGTCAGCTCTGTACACTCTCTCCTCCCAGGCCACTCATGAGGCTGTGCATCTCCTTTGTCAGATGCTTGTCTTTGACCCGGTAAGTTTATAAGACATGCGTGTGAAGGTGCCAGATCTCATATGTTGAGACAGAGAGTCAAGCCTCAGTCACTGTCAGCTCTGTACACTCTCTCCTCCCAGGCCACTCATGAGGCTGTGCATCTCCTTTGTCAGATGCTTGTCTTTGACCCGGTAAGTTTATAAGACATGTGTGTGAAGGTGCCAGATCTCATATGTTGAGGCAGAGAGTCAAGCCTCAGTCGCTGTCAGCTCTGTACACTCTCTCCTCCCAGGCCACTCATGAGGCTGTGCATCTCCTTTGTCAGATGCTTGTCTTTGACCCGGTAAGTTTATAAGACATGTGTGTGAAGGTGCCAGATCTCATATGTTGAGGCAGAGAGTCAAGCCTCAGTCGCTGTCAGCTCTGTACACTCTCTCCTCCCAGGCCACTCATGAGGCTGTGCATTTCCTTTGTCAGATGCTTGTCTTTGACCCGGTAAGTTTATAAGACATGCGTGTGAAAGTGCTAGATCTCGTATGTTGAAACAGAGAGTCAAGCCTCAGCCTCTGTCTTGAATTATCTCCCAAGTAGAGGTGTTTGGGGAAAAAAATCTAAGTTATAACTAGGATTTTTATGTCCTAGGACGCTAGGCACAAGCCTGTAATTGTTTTTCACATTATCTCAGGCTAGACCTAAGGGTTACGGCATTATTACTTAGATAAAATCCATTGGTGATTTGGCGGGATTTGAACCCGGCTTGCTCTAACCCCTGGAATCTATAACTAGGATTAAAAACGAACTCAACGATATAAAAAGTGACTGTATTTCTGATCAATATTTACAAGAGATAGAACAAAATTGGACTAACAAAACAGTCAGCTGATAATAAATAAACATTCATATCATCTGTAGTATGACTATTACAAATAACAAAAGGCAGGCATTTTCAACACTTTTGCCAATCTGTTAACCAATGCTGCCCAAGCTGCCTCTTTGCTTCGTACACGCAAAATACAGAGCTATATTGGTTCAAAAAAGTTGGCCGCCAAAGGACAAATTTGGTCCTTATTAAAAAAAAAAAAAAAACCCTATTGTGTGTACTTTATAATATAGTCCTGGGTTTAGGTATCACCATGAGACCTATAGTAGCTATAGCTTATTCCCTATACAGTAGACAAACCCAATATACTCCGGCACTCTAGTGATCCCCGGGCGTCTTTTGATTGATGTGGTGGGTGATTCAAGTTAAGAAACGTTATTGTGTCACAGTTTAATTCTCAGTGTCTTGTGTGACTGTATTTAGGAGCTTCGCGGTAACAGAAACATTATAATCGCGATCACGGCAAATTCATTGTCCTTTTTCATCACTGTCTCCCACGATCGTGGCAAAATTTTAATAATCTTTTGCGGCTGTCTAGACATGGTAAATAATTCAGACAAAATTCTGATCATACCTGTCGTGTGACATCATCATTGTCTTCCGCGATTGCTGCGAATTAATTATCATTTTTCAACCACATAGACATCAATTTCGTGTTTGCGGCCTTGTAGGCATGGTATCGTCCTGCAGTCGTGGTTAAATCCTGACCATTTCCCTTGATCAGGTCAAAATCCTGAATACCCCCGCTGAAATGGAAACACGAATTCATTACATTTTTCGGCCCTGTAGTCATTATCATCATCTCCCACGGCCATGTAGAGATCATCTTCGACACCCACAGTCTTGGAAACGTCAACGTCGTTATGCGTAATCGCGTGATCTTTGTAGACGTGTAGGGTATTGTTATCAGAATCGACTTTTGACAATGAATTCTCTATACTGATACCAATTTCCGACTTTTGACAATGAATTCTCTATACTGATACCAATTTCCAAGTATCGGTGGTGTTAAGAATCAACACATCCCTATTATAAAAATTGTTTGGCACCGATAAAACACTTGTTTAGTGCATTTAAAGGGTTTTTATTGATGACATTCCAGTAATCCGATATTTTACATCTACAAAAATAGTGGAAATGTGTGTCCTTTCTCAGACTACACTTATTCACCAATGTTGTGCTTAAGTCTCAGTCTGACTCAGTCATTTGTCGTGAATGTTGTAGGACAAGAGGATCAGTGTAGTAGACGCACTGGCTCACCCGTACCTAGACGAGGGTAGGTTGCGCTACCACTCGTGCATGTGCAAATGCTGCTTCACGAGTCCCAACGCGATGCGGCAGTATACCACGGAGTTTGAGCCTGTTACGCCTCATCCTTTTGACGACCTGTGGGAACGTAAACTTACATCTGTGCAGCAGGTCAAAGGTAAGGACAATTTTAGCCAACATACATGCAACACTCTCACTTCTTTACCAATGTTGTTTGTTGGTGGAAATATTAATTGTTTTCAATTTTTCCTTCCGATTTTCATAAGAGATATATAATTATTAATTTGTCGTTACGCCGTCACCATCTCTCTCTCACTCTCTCCCCCTCTCGTCAGTCTAGCCGGTCTGCTCATTCATCTTCTGCTTTGTTTTCCTACCAAACAGCTGTTTTGCAGGGCTAACGTTGCCATATTTATCATTACACCATTATGGTTAATGTCGGCAAAATTATCATACAATTGCGATAGCTTTTAATTTGTAAACAAAAGGTAATAGTTTGACTAATTTAAATCATGTTTATGTAAACTCATTATAAAATTATACTTATAGTTTGTTTACGCCACTACCACAGTTGTAAAAGTACAAAAATTATCGTCCATCTGCTAACACTGAGCTTGAAGTGGAACTTATCTTTCTGCCAAGACCCAATGGTTTTGCGCCATTCCGATGCATCAATGTTCCTTGCAGTAACTTATCGGCTTCTAAAACTAAACACCAATACCGATTAAAGTGAAAAAATATAATGAAATAATAGCTTATTTTTACTTGTTGTATTACTATATTTTGGTATAAAATATTTTGATGGCAGTTCAAACTAAATCTAATACTTTATAATATCTTCAAGAATCGTCTGCCTATGATTTACTAGTCACGAGACTCCCTTGTTGACTATCGACTACGGTAACTCGATAGATTCATTCAATGCTTTATTTCTTTTAACTTACCATATCGTTATCAAGACGTATTGTTGACTGTTGTAGGAAAGTGAAAGTCAAAGTAGTAGTAGTCCTCTTGCTAGCTCTGCTGAATGACAATGGTTGTTTGTTAAAAATTTGGTTTACGCCTGACTAGCCTATATAAATTTAAATAGTTGTTTTGTTTTTTGTAGGAATGGGGATTAAATAAGACATCAACACAAAACAAATATCATTTATTAAATACGGGTGTAGAAAATCGTGAAGTGGCACTTTTTATAACTACTTGACTCAAATTTTTGTCTAGTAGTTACTACTTTACTCGAGGTCGAGTATTTGGAAAAAGTCGAGTAATTACTCAACGGTCAAGTACTCGCTTATCCCTAATGTTTTCTCTCGTATCTGATTTGGCAATCAGGATCAACTCTTTGGAATGAAAAACCTATTGAATTTGGTTCCTCTTTATTAAAATGCTGGCATTGCATGTGATAACTGGGATTTTAAAACAACAACGAAGACGTAGGCATTAGTTTTTATGCATGTTTCCGTTTAGCGTGTTCTATTAGTCTTTATAAGCACACCATTAACAAAAAATAATCCATGATCAGCCTACTATAAGCGAGTTTAAGCTGTTGCTATGTGTCCAATCAATCAATATTATGATCTATTAATAAGGCTGCCAAAATGAACTTTATGTAGGCCAAAATACTAATTCACTAAACACCTAAACTTTTTTTCATTAACAAAAAAACTAAAAAGTTTAAGGTAGCTAAACTTTTTTTGGATTCTGCCAAAGTATAACTCCCAACTCCCTGATGGTTACAATTAACACTGCTGAGTGCTGACAGATAGACAATAACAGTTGCTGTGTAATGTTGCAGAGGAGATGCACAAGTTCATCAGCGAGCAGCTCAATACCAACCGTGTGCCGTTGTGCATCAACCCACAGTCGGCCGCCTTCAAGAGCTTTGCAAGGTAAGGCTGCGGAGCGGCCTGCCCCTTCCTACTAGGTACTTGCCCCCGGGTCAGTGGGCATGTGGCACTAGCTACATACATGCAACGCTCTCTCTTTGTATTCATTTTGAATTTAAATTTTATTTTGTATGTGTCTTCTATTATATTTCGTTGTTAGAGTAAACATTTATTGTTTGAAAAATTTTCTTTAATTTTCACAAGCGCCCAGTAGGAGAATGTAAAAGAAACCAGACTAAATAGTATAACTTCAGTTATATTATTTAATCAAAGCTAAGTAGTAGCCTACATAAATTAAATTGAGTTGTTAAAATACGTTTGTACTTATTGTTGAACAAATATTTCTGTCTGTTTGTTAATTAAATCTGATTGAAATTACGTCAGGGATAAATCGAACAAACAGTAAACCGTGTTTAAAGCATGTATTTGAAATAACCCACATGACCATTTGGCCTTGGTTTTATCTAAATTATAGTGTAATTATTATCTGCTACTTGATTCTGCTTACAACTCACAAAATGTCAGATTATTAAATACCATTACAAAGTCATTAATAATAAGTGCTCTTGATAGTGGTGTGCGATGCATCAAAAAGGCAAAAAAAGTTTGATTTGATTTGATACATTGAATTACGATTCGATTTAGCATGCTTCAAAATACCAATGCATCAATTTAGTCTCAATGCATCATTCAAATCTGTAATCCTTTCAGTACTCAAGCAACGTTGGAATTTTACATTTTCGCATTAGCCATGGCTACATTTTAAATGCGGCCTTAGTGCGTAGTAATAATTGCAGACGACGTTCTTAACAAAGACTGTTTAACAAATGCTGTGTAAAAAGTAGTGCATTTTAATAAAAAAAACAATTGCTTTGATATGGGCTTATTCAAATTGTTAGTGAAGTCTGGATTATCTTAGGCCAATGAGCAGTGTCCATCAGCAGGAGGTTAGGTCAGCAACCATCCTCTAGTTCACATTTTATTTAGTACATTTAAGCGGATTTCCCATAAAGGGAATAAGCTATTACAGTAGTACTCATGGTAAGACCTGGACCCGGGACTGATTTACTTTTTCGTTTTTAGGTTCCTAGAGGCCAAAAACACCAACTGTTCAAAGCCGTGTGTTTTTCTCATTTTTGACCCTAAAAACTTAAAATTTAGCAATTTCTTTCCCAACCATTTTGTAGAGCTTAAAAAACAGATAATTTAGTATATTGAAGCGTTATTATGCGCCTAATGGTTACGTAGAAAATGTAAAAAAATGTAAATTTAAAATTCCCATGTTATTCTTATGGAGAATAAGTCAACTGTTGTTGTTTGCTTGTTTATGAGCATATTTTGATCACATTTGGAAAATGCATTTATTTCATATTAAACTATTAACATTTTACAAAATAACAAAACTTGTTTACCCTCCCTGTTGCAGCAAACCTAGAGTACTTTTTAAACTAATGCTATTTAAAAAGGGAATAAATGTGATATTTTAAGGAGACATTTTAGTGTAAATCCAACCAGGCAAGTGAAAATTCGCTTAGTCTACAGGTTTGCGGCAGCGGGGGTATTTTTACATCAATCATTTTTCAATGATGATGCATTACAGTAATGCAAATTGTTAATAATTTTGAAAGAAAATCATGCTGTGTTGCATCAAATCGAATCGCATGGATTAATATCGAAATTCTTTGAATCACATAGATGCATTGAATCGGGAAAAAATGATGCATCGCACACCCCTAGCGGTTGATAAAAACACCTTTTTATTACTTATCTATTTAGTGCTTTATGTTTATATCAATTTTTGCATAAATGCATAATTAATGAACCATTTATTATATATCTTGCACAGTCACATTTTTGCAGTTTTTTACTACATTTCAGGTTATTACCTGGCATTATTATATTTATTGTTTAGGAGATAAAAAAGTAGTTTAACAACAACTAGAACTAAATGCCAATTTGATATTTTACCACAACATTGCTTTGAGTTGATACCTAAGTGCAGGGGTCTCCAACCTTTTTTACAAGGGCCACATTGACAGTTTTTTTAGGAAAGGCGGACTGTCAACATTTCAGTGTAGAAAGGTAGCCCCCCTCCAAATAACCCACAAAGAGGTAGTTTTCTAATTAAGAGCGATGAAGTTTGAACATTTCTTGCTGATTTTTGTTGCTATATTATCTTTTGACTAACTAAAATTCTGTACCTTTTTATGCGAATGATACTGTGACCAAACAAAATAATTGACCTACCTCACATAATTATTTATGGGCATATAAACTGTGTTGGTCATATTTATACGTTGTCATTACATAAGTAGGCTTATGGATTATTCAAATTCATAAGAATGTTTTTATAAATTAATTTTAGGCTTACAGTATATTTATCCATGATATTTAGGCCTAGAATTTGTTCTATAATGGAAGTTTTTCAAAAAGACTAATGAAAACACAGGTTGACACAACACCAAGTATTTTCGAAGTACTACTAAGTTTACTTGAGAGTTTACAAGGACCGTAAAGCTAAAATTAACAGCTATTTTAAGGGAAGGTCAACCAAATCAGGGTTGAAGTTTGTTGTCCTGATCAATAGGATTGTTTTCAATTCAAAGGTTCACTTAGCGTGGAAGATAGCTCTAACACTAGGCACATGCTTACATCTAATTTTCTCTTATTTGCAAAAAACCTGGAAAGTGTGAGATGAGGTTTACTATACACATATTTAAACATGGTATCTGGGTATCTAGCCAACCTGGGCACAGAGAATTTTACTTGAATTCGATATGGAAGGACTACAACAATCACCAATAGCCAATAAGTATCAATTCATTGACGGCGTTCCATTGGTTCTCTTTTAACATCATAAGTAAATCACGATCACTGGAGATCATCACAGAAGTTTTACTGATATCACAAGAGATGTTCACAGTACAGTCGAGATCGCGGTATCGCCGAGACAGCAAAATATGCTTGCGAGAGTTGCCCCGATCGTGAATGACGATGACGTTATCACCGAGACCGCAACATTTATTTATTGAACACCAACGGCAAACACCATTTTACATTGAGTAACAAATAGGATAGTATTATAAAATTTTTATAATTAATAGAGGTGCAGAAAACAATATTTAAAACTAATTAATACATGGAAAAACAATGGATATTGATGTTACAGAAAAATATAACAATGTATAAAAAATATAACAATGAATATATCAATAACAAGAATACAAACAAAATAGATCACAAAATTAACATGAGAAAAATAACAACAACAAAGGAACAACAACAACAATGCTTTTACAGAGTACCCTCAAGGATGCTGTCAGCCGCAGAACGCCGAACCACTCCCAAGGAGGCAGTTAGAAGGTCAACAGAGCTGCTTATCACATTCCCGAGGCGCATAATCCGGGGAATGGGACTGGATTTACTTACGGGTATTGACGTGACCGTGTGTGACGACCACGGTATCGCCTCATTCCAGCGATGGCAAATAACGATCATGTTATCACCAAGACTGTTACATTTACTTCCGGGCATTGCCGCGACCATGTGTGACGACCACGGTATGACCGAGTTGCAGCGATCTCGAATGACGACCACTCTATCACCGAGACCGCAACATTTACTTACGGGTATTGCCGCGACCGTGTGTGACGTCCACGCTATCTCCGAGTTGCAGCGATCACGAATGACAACCACTTATCACTGAGACCGCAACATTTACTTACGGGTATTGCCGCGACCGTGTGTGACGTCCACGCTATCTCCGAGTTGCAGCGATCACGAATGACAACCACTTATCCCTGAGACCGCAACATTTACTTACGGGTATTGCCGCGACCGTGTGTGACGACCACGGTATCACCAAGGTTCCGCAATCGTGAATGACAATCACACTATCACCGAGACTGAAACATTTACTTACAGGTGTTGTCGCAACTTTGACCATCCTCGATTTATACCAATTATATTAAATAATTATTTCCCAGTAGGCCTTCGCGGGCCGGATAAAATCTGTTCGCGGCCATAGGTTGGAGACCATTGCCCAAGAGTATAAGGTCAATTAAAAATAGTTCTATGTTTTATACTTAAAAACAAAACTGTAAAGTCTAATTAAAAAACACAATTACTCGGTGAGATGATTGTAAATAAGAAATGTATGAATTCTTTGTATTGGGTGTATTTTTTTAATTGTAAAAAACATTTGTATCACAATAGTAGAGTGTTTTCTTGTTACTAGTTTATTTTATTACATAATTTCCAAAGATGTTTATTAAATGCAGTGAATTCTTTATTCTTACATGAGTTAGTTTGCTAACATGTCATGTGTTTCTGTCACAGCTCCACGGTTGCCCATCCCTCGGAGCTACCACCCTCCCCTCACCAATGGGAGTGACGATACCTCCAACCTAGGTTGTTGTTCCGACAATTGATTGGTTGAAAATAACTGAGGACATATACAATTACTTCCGAGTGTAAATATAGATTAAGTTCAGGCAGTTGTGTCCATTTATGTTTCGGTTCTTAGTAAAATATATGGGTTAATGTACGTATTATCTGTCTGTATGTGCTTTACTTTGATTAGACTGAATTAAGACTGCTCTCGATGGAATGTCAAAGACTCTGAGCCTACAAACTGAGGTTAAGTCAACTGTGATTAGATAATTCCATTGAGACGCTTGATTTTCTTTTGATCGAAATGTCAAAGCACTTAAAGACAAAATTAAGAACCAGAGTTAACATCTGATAAGATAATTTATGTGTTTATAATTTGTTTTTATTTCTCTGCAAAATGTGACATGGCTTCTAAATTTTATCATTTACTTTGTAGATAATTTTATATATTTTCATTATTTGTGTGTTCGATTTTTAAACAATAACATAGGATTTATCATTAATTCTCTGCTTTCTAAAACGGAGGTAATGCAATTACAATCGATTTAGTTTATTCTGTACATAATGTAGGTATTAATCTGAAATATCAAATGACTTAATAATGCAATTGTTTTTAATCCTTGTTCTTTGTCGAACTAAGTTCACTAGAGTTTTAATCCATCATACTGTTGTTATATTTTTAGTAATAATTAGAAATGTAAATTGTAAGGTTTTATTTAGTTAATTTTTTTAATATTTTAAGCTAGTTCCAATATTAAAATTTCATACGAACAATATTGAAAGTAATAGTGGCTGTGTACTGTTGAGTTCCACAGCTTCCAGTCTGTGATATTTCAACCTCAATCTTTGTCCCGTAAATCCGTACATCACCGCTGTTAGGTTAGGTAAGTGGAAGTGACTGTACATACCGTTGAGAAGCCATGTTCGCATTTGCCGCTCACTACTGTAATGTTCAGACTGCAGAATAATTTTCCCAAAGATCTCATAGGCTCTAAGCGGGATAGGTTAGGTCTGGTGGTAGAATGTGTTTCCTATGTTCGTTTATCACTAGTATTTAGGGCATTATCTTATCTCTATTCTACTGTTTAGTTGTAATCCAGTTTTGTTTTGTAAACATTCAGACTGACACCAAATCACTGCCATCTTAGCTCTTTTACAAGACATTCCTGCAACAATGTTTTTTTCTAAATAAGTTTCAATCATAACAATTCAAGTTGTCCGCTTAAATGTGGAAATTTGGCAAAGTTTGGTCAAAAATACTAAATAATCATTAAAGCTGTATAACGGGAAGTGCAATGTCTCAAGTCTGAACTAGAGAGTGTGGGCTTTACAAGTGGTGAACTGGTACAAGTACATGTCTATGTGTATAGAGTGTGTCGCAATATGTCTTGTCTATCATTATAACTGTGTCTTTCTTTTAAATTTATAGTATTATACTTATGTAAAAGAGTGGGTATTATTATTCCTAACATTTAATGTTCTAAATGTTAATCATGACTTTCTTTTAAATGTGAGATATTTGTGTTTTGTGTTCAAATTTACTTTCCTACTGTTTATTATTTTATTATTTTTAAGAAATTGTTGCCTTTCTGAAAACAGTTAACCATTATTCCTTTATTTATTTATACTAAGCGTACTGCTTTGTTTACCAAACTACTATATATTTATGTATGCAAATTAAAGTGACTGAAAATCAATTTTAACCTTTTATATATTTTGTTATTGAAATCCTAGCTTGATTTCATTCATACGTTTGGTGGCACCCATGTATTCATTGTTCATAGTTCCTAAGTTCAAAAACGGGATTGTTTGTGTAACACAACTTAAAAAGTCGGCAGGAGTCGATAATTTTTCATTGTTGTGGACCGTCAGATGCCAGGCTAAACAGTGGTTGCCCGAGCGCCGGTGCACCGTAAGCTTGATTACTGAGGAGAAAATTTTATGTGATTCTTCTTAAACATATTTTACGTGTGAATTGCTTTTCAGATTTTTAAAACTTTTGGCCTTTAACTTTAAACTTAAACTTTAAAACTTTTAAATGTATTTGGCCAAATAATGATAACAATTAAAATTAAAAAGTAGATAGCATATCACATACGTGGTTTCAATAGCTTTAAAATGAGATATTTTGAAACTTTATATTAATAAACAATGCCGTAATATGCTTCAACCATTAACATTGTCGTTATGGGCAGAAAATCTAAGATAGACGGCAGTCTTGCCAACTCTTAAATATATTATAAAGAGGGAAACTAATACAACAAGGTCAATTCCTAGAGAACAAATTTACAATTGAGTGTAACTCCTTCGAATAAATGCAGATTTATATGTTTGCACCAATTGGATGATGTTTACTCGAGTTATCGTGCTAGTGGTCACTCATATATATTTATTATTTATATATGAATCTGAACTGATGGTATTTTTGGCCGCTGACGTCAAAACGAAAAAGTAAATCGGTCCCAGGTCTAGATCTTACCATGAGACCTACGGTAATAGTTTATTAATATGGGAAAAAACAATGAAAAATGTATTTTTGTTCAATTTATAATAATTGTGTATCATTCAAACCTCACTTACATTTTATTACAGGAAAGAATGTTTAAGTTTACAATTGAGTTAGTTTTTACTAGAATATTTTACCTAATCGAACAAAAGACTAGTTCTGTCAATTCAACTGTCCTCAATTTTCAGGACTGACTCATAAAAAGTAAAATGAAATATGAGTTAGCAATTAGCATCATAAACCTTGCGAAATGAAATTGCTTTTACAAAGACCATCCAAAAGGATGGTAATAAGGAGTTGTGAGTAACGGGTATTCCATGCTGCAATTGCCAAGGAAATGTTCCCACATCATCCTATATTACCAAACTGCTAGTACATCTCATCAAGTGAAAGTCGAGTGTTTCATTGAATTTTACTCTTACCCAAACAGTCCCTCTAAATGCGAGTTTCACATTCAATGTACAACAAATACTAAACAGCTACTATATAGGTAGAATTGATTTATTCTCTTGTGACAGTAATCCTGAATGTGACATTACCACTATGCAGGTGTTGCGGTTCCACTAGTGTGCTTTTGAAATGCTTCTACTTGTTCAATTATTGTATGTCGTTTAATAGAATCCTTATTTGTGATTTTTGGCACTTCTTGACTTGTATTAAAGTGCCTAGTAGATGTCAGTAAGTAAGATATATTATTACTTTTCTGCTTCAGTCTATTAATTAAATATTTGTACATTTTTGAATCATGTCAATTTAGTTTTGTTCATTAGAAAGATTAGTATCAAAATGTAGGAATCAAGGCAATTTATTTCTCACGTAGTTCTGTGGATGGGTTTACCTTTAGGGGTTTGTCTACAGTTTCCTATGTAAATTGAACAAATTTCTATCTGTATTTGTCACAAATTGTCTATCGATAAACATTTAGCATTTTTGTCTATAGATTCCTTTGCTCACAATGCCAACCATTAAACCTCACTGTAAATATAGTTAAGTTGTAAATATACTATAGAGGGGGGCATATTTTTGTTAGGAATAAACTTACGTATGAGAGTGTGTAAATCGATTAGTTTAGTTAATGATAACATGTCCTGATTCAATAGGTTAAGTTAGTCTGTACACTATTTGTTATATTCAGTGTTGGTTTTAGTCTGTGTCTTAAGTTTGGAGTCAGTGAGTCGGATATTTAAGTTTTACAATATATAATCCACAGTTTGGATATCATTAAAACATTCAAGCAATAAAATTATTACTTTGATCACTTTTAGAAAAGTCTAAAAGTCTTTAATCATGGAAGTTGCGAGGATCGGCACACTGACTTCAGACTCAGTTTAAAATAAATGTAATATTTTGGTATGTGAAATGATGAGTAGATTAAAAATTTTATATCTTTGTAGACTCGTTGTTTGTAAATGCATGATTCTGTTCTTCCAGTCGAAGTGAGGCGGTCACGTCGTATGCATTTACATTAACCGCACTGATTGTAAATATTCTTTTGTACATAGTGACACCAACACACTTTTATAGAATCGACCGCCTAAAACAGTTTTTTAATACAAATACCAGTAGTCGTTAGTATAGAGATCGGTCCCGTCGATGTTACGAATGTCGGTGTGCTTAGTGATTTAGATTCAAACAAACTTTATTGTTCACCTGTTTTGACTGTTTACCTCAAAAGTAAATTTCAAATTTATTAATATCTGTCCGTCACGTTTTGAAATAATGCCAGCACAATAAGAGAACTCTAAGTGTTGAGATTTCCGATGTCTCCATAGTTAGCTGTGTCCAGTAGCTCAGTGTCTACGCTCACACCTGCAGAATTTAAATATCAATAAATTCTTGATTTTAATATAACCTAGAGTTTTATTTATCCCTTTCCTTGTACAACAAATTTACATCATACAAGTGCACATACTTAAGAAATAGCAAATCTTTAAGATTATAGTTCTGTATACTAGTGATGGTCAAAACCAGAAATTTTGAATCTCGAAACCAAAACCGAAACTTTTTAGTGACCTGGTCAAGGTTGCTAAAAAATAAAAATACAGGTAATGATGACATTTTCATTATGATTATGCAATCAAAACTGAAAGAGATTGACTCCTGATCCAGACATAATAACATAAATGTGACAGATAAACTTTAAACCCAAAATAACATATACAGGGTGACAAAAAAGTCTGGAAACGGCTTAATAACTTTTCAACGAAATCCGTTAGAAAATTCAAACCTTTCACATAAACTTACATGTATAAAAACTACTTTTTCCAAGCATTTTCATTTTTTTACCTCTACCAGGGGACGACCCATGAGGAGTAGGTACAGAATCTTTAATGTAAGCATAGGTTTATATGCACATCATTTTAAATGGTTAGTCAAGTGGAGTTCATTGCCGGGAACCGCGTCTCAAAAGGTTCATCAGTTACAAAATGGCGGCTGTTCAAAGTTCTTGTGGATTATACCTGCACAGGCCTTAGTATTGGTAAACACTTGTATTAAACATTAGTTTGAGAGCTGAAATTGTATTTTTAAGTCAACTAGCTTATAGACTAAGTTTATTCAATCTTCAAAACATATTTAACCAAGTTTCAGATTTCCCTGCTAATGTTTCACTACGAGTATTTACCATTACTAAGGCCTGTGCAGGTATATTCCGCAAGAACTTTGGACTGCCGCCATTTTGAAACGGATGAACTTTTTTTGACGCGATTTCCGGCAATGAACTCCACTTGACCAGATCTTTATAATGATGTGCATATCAACCTATGCTTACATTAAGGATTATGTACCTACTCCTCATGGGCCGTCCCCTGGTGAAGGTACAAAAATAGTAATTGTTGCAAAAAGTAGTTTTCATACATATAAGTTGATGTGAAAGGTTTGAATTTTCTAACGAATTTAGTTAAAAAGATATCATACCGTTTCCAGACTTTTTTGTCACCTTGTATATATATTTTTTTAATTATTATTTATTATTATTTATTTCCAAAAAATACAAATTTACAAAACACATACAATTCCAAGCCACAAAAGCCAATATGGCTTGTCTGCAGCAATTATTCTAATTTTGTTATTTCACAGTGTTTTTTTTTTTTCAATCAGTCTTTGTTATTCAATCAGTCTTTTGTTTCCCTTGTTTTTCTGTAAGAATTCAATAATATACCAAACCAATCATAGAATTTAAAGTAGTCAGATTTTAACAATCCTTATATATAATACGTGAAGGCGATTTCTACAAAACACTACTTCTCCGTTAATAATGGACGGATTTTTACAAACGACGTGTCAAAATGAAGTATTTTTTGTGTAGATACCCCCTTTTACCAATTCCTGTAATAGAAATCCTCGGGCTTTGCCCTACGGGCCATCAAAGTTGGATTTTCTCCCATAAGATTAGCATGGGGGAATTTAAATATTTAATTGGAAACTTTGTCCCCACTAATTTGAGAGAACGGCTGGGCGTAGAAACTTTGTAGGGGTGTCCAAAGAAAGGTCTTGGTCTGTAGATGAGTTATCCAAAGAAAAACTAAGCAAAATCCCTTAGGGCTCTGCCCCAGAAGCCTTTAAAGATCCCTCCACAGAGTTGTTTACATTTTGGCCATGTGAATAATAATTTTTAATAAAACAGCTGTTCATTTTTAAATTGTATTTCAAACAACACATATTTATTTTGGGAGTTACTGAATTGTACCAAATAGGTATTTGCAATGTTATTTTCTGATTTTAAAATTGATTTTTCCTACAGTCACCCGACAAAGTTGGCTTCCTTGTACTGTTTATAGTACAGAAAGCTGCTAATTGCTGCATATTTATACTTTGCCGTACGGTTTATACTTTGCCGTACGGTTTATACTTTGCCGCACATCAGGATTCCAACGAAACAACACAAAACAGCGTGGTTCTATTATGCACTTAATCCGTGTACGCTTGGAAATAGGTTGGCAACACTTAAAGATAATAATACTATGAGCAGCTGATTGATATTATAACTACGATTTAACCTGGCATTTCGTGTTTATAGTTTAGGTATTTCTGAACTTTCTGGACTTTTCATTTAAACGTTTTTAAACCATTCCTACGATCTTAATAAACAAGAAAATACCTTTAACGCATTTTTTTAGGCGCGGAAACCACTTCAAATTACAAAAACATACGGAACTATATTCTCAAAACGCGGAGCACATTTCTTGCCGAGGAGAAATAGCGGAGTGATACAGACCGCGGGTACTACTTTCTCTAGGGCACCTATTTGTGTTGCCAGCTGAACCTAAAAACGTGTTGTATAGTGTTTGAAAGACTAATTATTTATATGCTTTATAGTGACTGTAGGAAAAATATAATGTGTAACACGAGTGAAAAAGGCCTTTGCTGCACTCGAGATCATTCCGCACTCGCCTGCGGCTCGTGCGTAAACATTGCTCTCGTGTGCAGCAAAGTGCCACTTTCACCACTAGTTACACAAATAACTATTCCTCTTTATCATGTCATGTTTTGCAATATAACGTTCCGTTACGAAATCAGTGGAAAATACTTTTATCACAGCAATTCTTAAATTATTTCTTATTGAAATATCTTATATCTATTGTACGGGTTGGTGTCTGCCTTTTTTACCACTTTTGCCTACATTTGATCATATTATTCTACACATATCAAATATTTATGTAGAAATATCTGCTCTTATCGTGTCTAATAAAATCCAAACATAGAAACCTTGCCTAAAATGGTACCCATCTTGACAAATTATTTGCACCTGCCTATATTACGGACTTTGGCGCAATGGGTTGGTAACATTATTGAAAATAACACTACATTTTGGCTGTAAAATATGGTACAAAGAGAAATGAGCAGCTACTGTCATGACAGGAAGGTCATATTCCTTTTAAACTAAATCACATAATCCTTTATAAGATACGTTGATTACCAACATGTAAACGTCAATATATACGTAACAGCCAATTTACTGTATTTTTGCTTTTTGGAAAAGTCCCATTGCTATGTCATTTGCATTATTTGTTGCCAATGAAAAGCCACCAAGACCATATAAATGAGGAGGCCCCTAACAGTTCAAGAATAAAAGCCAACTTCACTTCAAGTATTCCCCTACACCTAACATTCCGTAGAGAGATTATAATGCTACTTTATGTTATTGATAAGGCTGAGACAACTAACTGACATCCCCCATGTGAAGGAATTCCAGCTTTAATAGTAACCCCACAATCAATTTCTCAAAACTATGCTAGAGGGTTCATTCATTGGCACAGAAGTACGATATGAACTGACACAACGTGACGAAGGAAAAATCAAACTTACACTGTAACGGATATACCTCCCTTTGAAGTTAGAATATGTCTTCCCAAAAAATATTTTCTTTTCAAATAAAATCATATTACACTGATGAAATCACAGAAGTGTTTAACTACAAAAGACCCACCAATACGATTTACTATTTAAAGGTTCTTCCAAAGGATGAGATATCATATAACATACAGTACTAATAACAACTCCGATGAGTCCGATGACGTACGGTATGGGAAATATTTTAATCATTGCAAATTTGGCAACTAACGCAATTAAAATCATTATTGTTTTTACAAATATTACCCTTTAAACAATGCTAAATGCTCAAAATATGTATATTTAACCCAATTTATCGCAGTTAGATGAATTAACGTAAGCCTTGAAAGTAACCGTCGATTTCGACGGGTTTCACCTAGTTATTAATAAACAATGAAAAAAGTAACAGTAATAACCGGATTTAATAAACAACTAACATTAAAATAAATTAAACTCTTGACATTGAAATAAACACGAATATTACATTAATTAGAACAATTAGTGGTCAATATTTCTTTGTGTTTAATAAATATTGAATATCGATTGAATATCGATATGAAACTGAGTTGTAAGTTGTTCCAGTATTTAAGATGCCTTTTGCAGTTCAGAATACAATTTAATTGTTTCATTAGTGTTAATGGAGATGTGTTTGCTTCATTGTGACCAGCTTGTGTGTAAACAATGTTATAAACAGTAATAATGGCACAAAAAATGTTATCATTTTCAAAAATATAAGTGCCAAAACTTCCTATTACGAAACTTTTGAATCTCGAAACTCGCCTATCGAATCTTGAAACCAAAACTTTTCCAAACTTTTGATGGTTTTGAGATTTGGTTTTGACACATCAGTACTTTATAAATACCCCCGCCACAGTAAACCTGCAGACTAAGCGAATTTCCATTTGCCAGATTTGATTTTCAATTAAATCTATTCAAATAACATTAGGTTTAACAAGTACCTACGTTTGCTGCCTGCAGGGAGGGTAATAGAGTGTGTTTTTTAGTAAAATAATAATAGGTTATTAAAATAAAATAGATTGGCCAAGTTTGATCCAAATGCATAAACAAGCAAACTAAAACAGTTTACTTATTCTCCGTAAGAATAAAATGGGAGTTTTTTCTTTAAAATTTTCTCCGTAAACAATAATTATAACAAATACTTCAATATACTGAATTATTTGATTTTTAAAGCTCTTCAAAAAGGGCTAGAGTAAATTTGGGAAATGTTATGTTTTGAGTGTCAGAAATTAGAAAAACCAATTTTCACCCCATAAATCCCCCCCATAAAACCCAGTTCGCATGGTCCGATAATGCTGGTCCGCGATCTCGTTTGAATAAACGTAGGTGTACACGTTTGTGCCAAATTTCATCGAAATATGATCATTTTAGCGAATTTCCCATATAGGGAATAAGCTATTACCATTGTACTCATGGTAAGACCTGGACGCGGGACCAATTTTTTGTTTGTTTTGAGGTCCCTAGAGGCCAAAAACACCATCCGTTAAAATTCATATATATATATATATATATATATATATATATGTTTATATATTTATATATATATGTGTCCGTTAGCATGATAACTCGAGCAAAAATGATCCGATTTTGATGAAATTTGGTACAATTGTGTAAACCTACGTTTATTCGAACGAGTTCGCGATCCAGCTTGATCGGACCATGGGAACGGGGTTTTATAGGGTAAAAATAGGGTTTTCCCATTTTTGACCCAAAAAACATAAAATTTAGCAATTTCTTTCCAAACCACTTTGTAGAGCTTAAAAAAACAAATAATTTAGTATATTGAAGCGTTATTATGCGCCTAATGGTTACGGAGAAAATTCCAAAAAATTGTTAATTTAAAATTCCCATGTTATTCTTATGGAGAATAAGTAAACTGTTGTAGTTTGCTTGTTTATGAACATATTTTGATCAAATTTGGAAAATGTTTTTATTTCTTACTAACTATTAACATTTAAAAAAAAAAACAGTTTTACCCTCCCTGATGCAGCAAACCTAAGTACTTGTTAAACTAATTCTATATAAATAGGGAATTAATGTTATATTTTTAAGTAGACATTTCAGTGTAAATCCAATCAGTCAAATGGAAATTCGCTTAGTCTGCAGGTTTGCTGCGGCGGAGGTATTTGCTCTAGTTATCGTGCTAACGGACACACATATATATATATAATGAATGTTGGTACAAACTTGTAAACCTACGTTTATTCTAACGAGTTCGCGAACCAGCATAATCAGACCATGGTAACAGGGGTTTAGGGGGGTTTTATGGGATGAAAATGGGGTTTTTCCTATTTTTACCCTAAAAACAAAAAAAATTGCAATTTATTTCCAAACCATTTTGTAGAGCTTAAATAAAGAAATAATTTAGTATATTGAATCGCTGTTGTACCCCTAACGGCCACAGAGAAAATTAAGAAAAGTGTAATTAAAAATTCCCATGTTATTCTTATGGAGAAAATGAAATTTGTTGTAGTTTACTTGTTTATGGATATATGTTGATAAAATTTGGCGAATTTATTTATTTAATCCTATACTATTGACCTATGGTCAAAAAACACGTTTTACCTTCCCCGTAGCAGCAAACCTAAGCACTCGTTAAATCTAATGTCATTTAAATTGGGAATAAATATGTCATATTTATGGAAATATTTTAGTAAAAATTTAATCAGACAAGTTGAAATTCGCTTAGTCTCCAGGTTTGCTGTGGCGGGGGTATTTTATATTAGTTTATGTGCTATTTTAAATTCCAAATGAATAGCTTTTGAATTTGGGGAACACCATTCTTTATAATTTATAAACACAAACCGAAAACACCATGCTATTATTTCCATCATAGACTAACCAACACAAGTAGACTTGTCATCCCATTGTAAATTTTGAAGCACGTTTTTCGTGTCTAGTTCATGTACGGTGACACTGGGCGCTAGTGTCGACAAAATTTTGTTTCTATTATTTTAGGGTTAATTTCTTGATTTGTGCCTTACTGTTTGGTTATATAACTAGGAGACAAGTTATTGTTTATGATTAGATCGTATTATTTGGTTAAACGAGGTTTTAAATGACTTTAATAACTGGAAACAAATTGTAAACAAAACACAACCTCTACATAAACCGTACAGAACTAACAATAAAATTGTCTTCAGCTGTTGCATAAGGATGAGAAATCTACTTGGGGGAGTATGTTTTATCTATGTTTCCATGTTGAAAATATATTTGTCGAAGTGGTTACTGTTACCCCCTCAAAAAAAGTGTTGCCACCTTTCTAAGCACAGAAGATCCTTTTATACTTATATACTTAAAACAAATATACTTATTGAGAGATGGTAGCAAATCCTTTGTAACAATGCACCAAATTCTAAAGGAAACCAGTGAAGTACCAAATGACAACTTAAGAAAAACAGTAATAGCATCTAAAAAATCTTTTTACTGAAGAGCATTAGAGGCTACTCTTTTTAATTGGTTTCAGTTTTAACAACAAACTCTGAACAGTGTTAATCAGAAGTGTAACCCAAGGGAAATATGAAAATTAAATGGTATAATATTGCATTGTCATCCATTTGTGAGCTATGTTTCAAGTTTCAAGTCTCTAGCTCATCGGGAAGTATCGAAATTTGCAAGAAAGCGAGTTAATAAAAACAAACCCATGGGGCGTAGCCCGAGGGAAATATGAAAATTAAATTATATAATATTGCATTGTCATCCATTTGTGACCTATGTTTCAAGATTCAAGTCTCTAGCTCATCGGGAACTTAGTATAAAATTGATTACAAAATTTTTACCGGACAAGAAAGCGAGCTAATGAAAACGTTTTAAAAAGTAATTCAAAATGATGGGTCACAACACCCCATTCATATTTAAAATAATTTATCACATTTCAAAATGGCGGATCCAAGATGGCGGCCGAAAAAATTACATCCCTTATAACCAAGTGATATTAGGTCGACAATGATGGTGGTGTATACTTATCTTTATCTAGCACTATTTTGAGATTATGGTCTTAGTTTGTAAATGCACAATGTTAAAATGGGCTAAAATTAAAGTTATAAAAAACCCTCATAACTTTGGAATGGATCAAGATTTTTAAAAACTGTTTGTGGCATTGTAATCAGGGTAAAAATTTAGTTCAGAATAATGGGTCACAACACCACCTTTACATTTGAAAAAAATATTTTGCATCCAATATGATGAATCCAAGATGGCGGCCGGAAATTACCACCTTGTCAAAATGAAGTATTTTACTATCCAACAAGGTTTAGAAGTGGTCTGGGATTGATATTTGAAAAAATTGTAGAAAAATCCTAGGGGGGGAGGGACTTTATAACCACCCTGTATCTATTGTGCAAACCTCTCTATTTTTACCCCACAATGTAAATAAAACAAATACTAGGCCTAATTGGAATTTTCTTCCATTTGTTTTGATTTAATTCTGTTTATATTTCGTTGTTATTTTACCACCAACATAGCAACCCTTAAGGCCCATGTAAGTTTATTTTTAAAGTTATATTTGTGCTCATTTTTAGCCTATTTTAATTTATAGATTTCTGCACATCTACAAATATCTTTCTAACAGTATGCGTAGATTTTGGCTGTGATGCACACGAGGTGAGAAAAAAGGTTTTTAAGAAACATGCTTGCCTATTAATATATAGGATTGTTTCACAAAAAGAGCTTAAAGAAAGGCTAATACAATTAATTGGCACACATTTATTTGCAGTTATATTATATATATATATTGAGTATTTAACATCAACTCTTTGTCTAATTTTAATTAAAAACAAAAATTAATACACTTCTAAACTTTTTATTGTCTCATTTCAAAACTAAACACATATTTTACACAAATACAGTACAGTGGTTATAAGAATTTTCAGATATAGAGCACAATTTAACATAATAAATTACGTAAAGGTTTTTTTTTTTTTTTAAACTGGAAAATTAGTTGTGTGAAACTCTTCCAATTCCAATTTTATATTAACCTCATTAATTAAAAATGTATATTATAAGTTTGAACAGTATCTATTTATTCTAATAAACTAATGCACTAATAAAGAAAAGTTTGCAGATTTCCAAATTTACCAAACAAGGCCAATACAGTAGAAATACAACTTTCCTAATCAATTGATACCATTGTTTGAAGTTCATTGTTGGTGATGGTGAGTTAATGTTGTTCAAAGGTTTACTGCAGACATTTTCCATCACGATTGTAAAAACAATACACAACGTTTCGGGATCTGGAATCTGATCCCGTCCTCAGGTGAAAAAAACTTAACTAACACATTACAACTAACAATACACAAACGCTCAACCTAAGTTGGAATACACTACAGAGGGTAGCAGTCAAAAAATAGTTATTTGTGCAACTAGTGAGAAAAGTAAGCAATTGACTCACTCGAGAGAAATCCTTACTCACGAGCCGTAGGCGAGTGAGGAATGGTTTCTCGAGTGAGGCAATTGTACTTTGAACTCGAGTTGCACATTATACTTTTCCTACAGTTACCATAAAACAAATAAATTTGTGAAGAAACATAACCTATTTTTACACAGAAGTGAACTGTTAATATAACATTTAATGTGAAGTGACAAATACAACAGTACAACAGCTGACCAGCTGATTTACAGCCAGTGCTGCCAACGTATTTCGCGCGCATACGACGTTGCCTGCATGTTACGAGCTCACTATTTCGTGCCTTCACGTTGCAAATCTGGAGTGAGACAAAGTAATTAGAGTGAGACAATGTTAACATTGTCTCACTGATGAGCGAATTGGCCACTTTGCTTTCTCAAATCAGTGAGAGAACATGCACATTGTTAGGTAACTGTAGGAAAATCCAATTTTTCAGGTTATTTTATAGGTTTTTATGAAAAAATCATCATTAAAAAGATAAATTTGAAAAAAAATGAGAAAAAAAAACACATGGTGATAATATGGATTAGTACCTACATACCAATTTTAATCAAAATCGGATTACAGGTATGGTCTGTAGCTCTGTACACATCCACACACACAGACATCACTTTGAAAACCGCTTTTTTGGGTTCAGGGGGCCCCAAAACGGATATATCCACTCAAAACTTAAACTTGAAAATGTTGACAAAAACATTACTTTCTCCATATACTACAGTATGTTTGGCCTGTTTGGGGGAGAAAGTAAAAATAAATAATATTTTAATAGGCATGGTCAAGAAATAAAAAAAAATCTAAGAACGGCTGTTTCCATAAGAAGTGAGATCTATCTACTGTATCAAAATCGTGTATTTTTATCACAATTTGCGTACTTACATAATAATCCCTTAAAATCGTTGACACTAACCACTTAATACCTTAAGCCTATACGTAAAACTGTATATTATTATGAAACTGCGGCGTAGCAAATACCTACAGTACAAGTAGCGAAATACACAATTTTAAGATGAGAAGAGATTGATGGTTTGAAGCGTTGCCGATAATTCAGGTCCCTGAGGTAGTTTTGTGATCATCCGCGAGGAGCCTCATTGACCCCGACCTTCTTGGGGCTAACGGTTCTGTCCAGGTGTCTGATGGAGACGTCAACCACTGCCATGTTGGGAGTAATAAACTCCTGCAGCAGGTTGACACCGTCCCGAGGCAGACGGTCAAAGGGGTAGCCCATGGACCTCTTGTCAGGGTACTTGTTGTCCCGCAAGCCACAGTAGCTACTGGCCGCATCCTCACACATCTTGCCTCCCACAGTGGATCTCTCAACCTAAATGACAATAACACGTAAACATGTCAATACACTAACAAGGCACCAAGCTAGAATCATTGACTATATACAATAAGGTTTAAGGCATATAGTCCAATCTAGAATATAGTGATGGCAGAAGAGTTCGTCCAGAATTTAGAACAGTCGAGGTGCTGAGGGGGTTTGAGCATGCATAAAAGTGTAACGAAATTTGACTTTTGATTGTTGCTATGGGTGGGTATCTAGTAAATGAAGACAATCGAAGTTGTCACATTCCTAGGTGGTTAATAACATGGCAGGGAGGGGGTGAAGTTGGGGGGGGGGGGGCCGCGTACAAAATAGCTTATATCTCGAGAACCAAAAGTCATATAAATACGTTAGAAATGTCAAACTGTGCAGACAAATGTGTTCTAAAACAAGACCCCCTGATTTTTTAAAATAACAGCTTTGGAGAGTAGTATAGGTAGTATACAATAGGGAAATAATATTTCCTTAGAATAAAACTATTGCGATACATATAACAGCTATATAATCCTCAGATCCAATAAACCTAATATAATTTAAGGCGTAACACGTGTCGCGGTCATTGCTCTAGCTAGGCACCGTGCACAAAATTACTTATATCTCGAGAACCAAAAGTCATTAAATATGTTAGACATGTCAAACTGCAGAAAAATGTGTTCTACAAAATAGCTGTTAAGTTATGTATCGCAATAGTTTTATCTACGGAAATAATATTTCCCTATTGTATACTACTCTCCAAAGTTGTTATTTAAATAATCAGTAGTTCTAAACATCAACAAAAATCATAATACTCATATTTCAACTTATCGTAAATTTAAAAAATGTAATTTTCACTAACTTTTTGTAGTTTTTCGTCAAACTACTACATAATCTTGTTTTAGAACGCATTTTTCTGCATTGTTAGACATGTCTAACGTATTCATATGACATTTGGTTCTCAAATATAAGCCATTTTGTGCGCAGCGGCCCCCCCCAACTTAACCCCCTCCCCGCCATGTTATTAACCACCTAGGAATGCGACAACATAGATTTTCTTCATCTACTAGGTACCCTTAGTAACAATCAAAAGTCAAATTTCGTTACACTTTTATGCATGCTCAAACCCCCTCAGCGCCTGGACTAGAATAGGAAAATGAAACTTTAAAAGCTCTACTGTATTTCTTATCCAAAACCTTTTTTAAATGAATGTTTTGAAAGCAAAAACAGGAGACTGGATACTAAAATAGTAAACTATTGTTAGAATGTTAGGTACATTCTAACAATGTACAATTATGGTGCTTTCAGGGGAGAGCACCACGAGGATAAATTACAAATAATTGGTAGTTTTGATAAACCTGTTTGGCTACCATTGTCCCGGTATCCCCAAACAAACTTTTGAGACATTAATACAAAAGTTACTGAACTATTATTAATATTGAATATTAAATGAAAATTACAGACTATAACATTCCATTTGTCAATATATCCATAAACTCACCCTGTCATTCTCGTAGTTAGAGATCATAACAAACAGCTGGCATTGCAGTCCCTGAGGAGTACCGCGAGGTACCAACATGTGTTCTGGCCATCCACAGCCACAGAAGTTGAAAGCTTCCAGAATTGGTCCACTATCAGGGCGGTTTGCCTCCAGGTTACGGAAAGTTCTATTAAATGGAATTGTCACTGAAGATTCCTTTGATTTGCGCTCAATCACATTAGTTTTCGGTTTCACTGTAAGATCACCACCATTTTAAAACAATAGGTAGTTAAATAGAATATTTATTTTCTATTACAATACACCCTAAAAAAAACCAATGTGAATTTTGAATAATTTCAAAATAACTAAAAGCATCCATATTATTAGCCTACAATGTATAATAATCTACTGAAAACTGTGAATGTTAGAAAACTGCTAGTATAGAACATGAGTTTAAAATTGGATGAACATGATTTTTTCTCTATTATTATTTGAAGATTTTGTAAAATCACTTCACTACTGACCCCCCATTTAATTGATGTATTCCTCTGACCTATGTTATGCAAGATAGTCTTCTCTTCAGGTTAATTTTATTTTTTGTTTTTCTATTTAACAGTGTATTGTATCTATTATATTATTAAAGTGATACCATCAAATTTTATGTAAACGGTTAATGCCATTTACCAAATAAAAATATAGGTATATGGCATATCAAAATGAAGCTCAGAGTGTGTAGATTTGCCGAAAAGTATTGATATGGACGAACTCCCTAAGGGCTCTGCCCCACAGGCTGATTTCCAAAGGGCTACGCCTGGCATGTTTTGGAAGTTAACGTTATTCGAATAATTTAGTGAACAACAGCTGGCCAATGCAATTGACAATATAGTTTGTTTGTTTACATTGTTGTTTACTTATTTTATTATTTACTTCGATGTTCTTAAAAGAGGTGCAGTGAATGGGGACAGTGAAGCTATTTGTAGCTGTTTGATACAAATGATTGAAAAGATGATCGAAAAACGATGAATATGAGATTAACATACCATGTATATTGTTCGTTCCAAGAGGTTGTCACCGATCTTTAACAGGTCGCAATTTCAGAGAACCTCGGCCACCTCAGGACGTAAGGTATGAATGTTCCACTGCTTTTAACATCCGTTAAGATGAGAATTTCTCAAATTTGGGCCTTTTAAATGAAATATAAAGTCAAAGTTGATTAAATTAATTTAATGTTGGCTTCTGTACACCCGTGACTTCGCAGGCAGAACCTCTTGTATCCTATTAATATTGTAAGTGAGAAAGTTTGTATTTCTATAACTTTAATTAAAGTTACAGTTAAGATTAAAAGTATAATTTTATTTTCCATCAACACAAATGTTTTTATTATATTTTATTTTTTTTTAACTTTTTTTCTTCAAGTGCGAAGTAGTGAGCGACAATTAATTGGTTGGTAATCCTTGTAACTTTAATGCTATTGAACATCATAGAACAGAACCAAACTTGTTTAATTGAAACAGCTGTTAAGAGTCATTAATTCCATATGAGTACTCATAAGGTTAACATGGGAAACTCCAGAGCCACTGGGGCGGAGCCCGAGAGTCAGATCAGAATAAAAACAGCTTAGTTTTCCTATTTAATGCCTAAAGAATCAGTGTACCAAATTTCAGCCTCCTAGGTAAATGGGAAGTAAGAGAATTAGTGATGAGTGAGTGAGTCAGTCAGTCAGTGAGGGCTTTGCCTTTTATATATATAGATAGGCTCAAAAATAAGCAAGAAAAATTAGTTTGAATTTTCAAAAGTTACAGTTAAGATTAAAAGTATAATTTTATTTTCCATCAACACAAATGTTTTTATTATATTTTATTTTTTTTTAACTTTTTTTCTTCAAGTGCGAAGTAGTGAGCGACAATTAATTGGTTGGTAATCCTTGTAACTTTAATGCTATTGAACATCATAGAACAGAACCAAACTTGTTTAATTGAAACAGCTGTTAAGAGTCATTAATTCCATATGAGTACTCATAAGGTTAACATGGGAAACTCCAGAGCCACTGGGGCGGAGCCCGAGAGTCAGATCAGAATAAAAACAGCTTAGTTTTCCTATTTAATGCCTAAAGAATCAGTGTACCAAATTTCAGCCTCCTAGGTAAATGGGAAGTAAGAGAATTAGTGATGAGTGAGTGAGTCAGTCAGTCAGTGAGGGCTTTGCCTTTTATATATATAGATAGGCTCAAAAATAAGCAAGAAAAATTAGTTTGAATTTTCAAAAAAATTAACATGGGTCTTATGGGTTGCCATGGTGATGACGAAATAACAACAAAATATAAACAGAAAATCAAAACAAATGGAAGACATTCCAATCACATGTTTTATTTACAGTGTGGGGTGAAAATAGACAAGTCTGTACATTACATATTTTTGGTAGAGTTTTCGATCACGGGGCGACCTCTAGGAACCAATATAAAAACGGGGTTTTTGTCACAGCTAATTTGAGAAAACGGCTGGGTGTAGAAACTTGGTAGGGGTGTCTAAAGAAAGGTATTGGTCTGTAGGTGAGCCCTCAAAAGAGAAACGAGGTACATTTCCTTGGAGCTCTGCCCCAGAGGCCTTTAAAGTTCATTCAGCAGTTTTGTTTACATTACGACCTTATGGATAATTTTACACTACTTTTAATGAGCCAGCTGTTAATATTAAAATTGCATTCAAAGGTCTACTAAAACAGTCAAAATTAAATGTTTACATTATTATTTATGATCTATATAATTAATACGCTACATGAAACTTTTTCGGTTGAACTCCTCCGCCATTTCTTAACCGATTTTATCCATTGACGTCTCATTGGAAAGAGCTTGTCGCGTAAATTTGCAAACTGGCCTTATATTTTTGAAAAAGTCCCGTGGGCTCTGCCCCAGTGGCTTTGAAAGTTCCCATGTTATCCTTTTGAAGAACATAATTGTTTACATTTTGATCAGCTGTATACTGTATAATTTAATTGCTGTTATTTATTTTTTAAATCAACAAAACGCATTGGGTAGCCTACATTTAGGCTACTGATTTTGTTGAAATTTAACTACTTTAATTTATATTTGTACATAAGCCTGGGCATAATTTGATATATTTTACCAAGAAATAAAAATGAATTGACAGGGTACTGTATTTCTTGAGCAATCTTTGAAAGAAAAGATTTTTTAACCATGGAAACATAGGAAAGTCATAGAACGCCACCAAGTAGAAGAAATTGAGATTTAAAGAAAACCATTTACTGTCGTTGTCATCCTATATAATGAAGAACACCTACAATATGAAGATTCCCACAAACAATGAACAAGGATGTCAGCCGAAGTGTTACTATTTTGTAGGAAACATGCAAGGCTTATACGCCTTGGGAAACATGGACTTAACTTTATGACGATTGGCAAAGGAAAACACTCTAAGGCTGAATTAAACTGGCACGGCAAGGACATTAAATATATGTTTTCATAAAATTCAAGTGATTTAAAAATAATATGACTACATCCAAGAAACCTTAATAAAACTTTCACTGAAGGATTTGCATTATTCACATTTAAGCAAAACAAAAAACCATCTGAACAACATTAGGCATTTCAATTCTGCATTTTTTCAGGTAATTATAACTTACGTTATAAAAGTATCTAGCCAAATTAATGTCAATTGAAGCAAATAAAATTGTGACTGAGAGGTTATGAAGAAAATCAGGCAGTTCTTAAGTAATGTAAACAAAATGTTATGGCTATAAAAAATTACTGAAATTTGTAAACGTACTGGCGACAACTGGTAGTACTATGCAGACTACATTATCATTGACGAAGATCAACATGGACAACCTAATGCGGCTATAAGTGGGAAAGATTTGTAGAATACACTAAAATACCAGATCAGCTTTTGAAAAATTATAAAATATTTACAAGATATTTTGATTATATGGAACTGTTAGGTACGTAATCTATGAGTTGAGTCTTTTAAACTCATCGGAAATTTTGACTTTTATTCGTTTTTAAATAAGTTATTTGTTTTTAAATACTGTAACTACTTTACTTTTTTGCAATTGCTTGATTTCGAGCAACATGTACACTAGTTTTAAATTGATTCTCCACTGCATGGCAAGTTTTTTTATAGTTTCAACAAAATGATGAATTTATGATACGTTTTAAATGTTTTGTTCAAAAATCTATGCTTTTATTGCCCTTAGAAAATTTTATAAATTATGAAATCAGTGCGGCATACCAAATTCAAAGGAACACATAACTATTCCTTATCGGGTTAGCTTATACATTTTGTAAGGTTGGCACTTGCCTTTTTATGCCTACTTTCAATCACCATTTATTATTGAATTCAAGAAAGAACACTAGAAATTCATTTATTGGTATAAAAGTTGTCGATAATCGGGTTGAAAATTGTGTCATAGATGAGTACCTTGAGGATGAGAGCTGTGTTTAAGTTTTGGAATAGACTAATGTTTCATCTATGGTCTTGGTGAAGTGGGTGAATTAATGTAAATTCAGGTACAATATAAAAAAAAAAATGTGGACAGGGTTTTTACTTTGATGTACACGTCTAGCTAGGTCGAACAACGCATCTAAACCTCACTACATACAAAACATTCGGAAACACAACAGCCCATCACATCTCATCGCATTTGCATAATTTGTTACCAAGGCTGGACTAGGTTATGGATAAGGTTCCGCAAATGTTCACGATTTGTTTGTGGTCATAATTTCCTACAACTATGGTTCATTCCATCCACAAAATTCATGCACAGCTTTATTTTATCGATCTGGCCAAGGCAAAACTACCCCATGAGTTAATCAATTTCTTTGTTTGAAGTTTATTGTTGGTGATGGTGAGTTAATGTTGTTCAAAGGTTTATTGCGGACATTTTCCATCACGAATGTAGTTGGAATACACTACAGAGGGGTAGTAGTCAAAAAATATGCACTGTATAGCAGTCAAGTCATGATACAACATGCAATAATAATAAATCACAAAACACTATAATCTATAAAAGGTTTAACGTAAAAACTCACACAATGGAACATTAAAAGCACCGTACGCAATGACTCCACCAATGAGACTGAACCAACATGGCTGACCAATCGGAAACATGGAGACAACAGAAAACTCTTCTTTTTTTTACTACTACCCCTCTGTAGTGTATTCCAACTTTAGGTTGGGCGTTTGTGTATTGTTAGTTGTAATGTGTTAGTTAAGTTTTTTTCACCTGAAGACGGGATCAGATTCCAGATCCCGAAACGTTGTGTATTGTTTTTTACATTCGTGATGGAAAATGTCTGCAATAAACCTTAATCAATTTGTAAGTAAGTACAGGATGATTAAATACATGGGTCGATATGGCAAGAGAAGGAATTAAAATTGCTTGGATCGAAGTAAGAATGTTACTGCTTTCTGGAGAATCAGATATTTTTATCAAATACAAAAAAAAACCTGATTTAATATGCTGATAAAATTCTGTATTTTATGACCAAAGATGAAGATTCACTTATAAATCCGAATAATATCTGAATGATTTTCCTAAAGCAGATGGAATTAGTTGTTAGTAATATTGACTCTTTCCGTAACATGATAGACTAATTATATGAACGCCCTCCTTCTCCCATATAGTGGCTTTGACATGTAACTAAACAGACTCATGAACAAACAATCATAAGACTCCTAAAAAACCTTTTGGGCAACCTAAAGCCGATAAAAACGTACAAAATATTGTGTTAAACAAATTCAAAAATCACGTTTTTTAGGGAACACAACCGTCATACTTATTATTATGCCTATCCTCCATTCAATTAACTAAGATTTTAATAACTTCACTCTATCTATCGCAGTTACCTGAATTTACATAAAACCTCAATATTAACCGTCGATGGGGTTCCGCTAGTTTTTAATTATTTAAAACCAACAGAATATCCTTTGTTGTGATAATATAAACATAAAGACAATGAAGCAATGAAGTTAGTGACACAGTGACGGGATGCGAGGCCCATCAGTGATGGGGAAAAGTCGTAGCAACTCTAGCAAGTGGTATTAGATGGCACTAGACTTCCCGCAACGACTTGGATTCGCAAAGCAATAAGTCATGCAGGGAACAGTCATTCTACTCTCTTAACCATAATACGACATATCTTTAACGTAATCCACTCATTATGTCATAGATACAATTAATTGAAGTTAAATTTTGTATTTTGATACTGGATTTTATTTTTGAGTTTGGAAAAATATTCTTTCTATCAATTAAGAGAAAAAAATTAATATTTGTTTGTATCTTTGACAGAGAGCAATGCTGCTCTGTAACTCCTCCGCCCATGCTAGATGCATTTTGATATATATATATTTTAATGCTCACAATTGACTGTAAACTTGTCCATCTCAATGAAAAGTCCCTTCTGGTCTCTGAATAAAAATGGCAGACCACGTTCATCAAACTTGGGAGCCAGGAATATTCTACAGGTGCCCATTCTCTGCTGACCATTGTTCTCAACCTGAAAGCAAAAAGTAAACTATTGCACTCTAATAATTTAGGGACCATGCATTTTTTTGCAAAATCCATAATAGTTTAGATATAAAAACTATACGTACAATTTTAGTAATCTATATTTATAAAATAGAAAGTTTGTATATTTGAACGTTATGGACTCCAAAAGCGCTCGGCAGATTGTAATGAATCTTTCAGGCATTATTAAGCATTATTCAAGGATGGTTTGGTGCAGATCCGTCAAAAGGGCTCCGCCCCAGTGGCTCTGGAGTTTCCCATGTTAACCTTATAAGTACTCATATTTAAATGGAATTAAAAAATCTTAACAGCTAGTTCAACTAAACAATTTGATTCTGTGATGATCAATAGCATTAAAAGGTTACAAAATGTACCAACAGGGTGCAGCACTATTAATTGTCTAAATTTATGACAACGGTTGCTAATTTCAACCAAGCAGCTGTGATTCAAAATTAGAACTATCATAGTAGGATTGTTCACAGTTATGTTTATGTTTTTAATTTCATAAATAACGAGCTGTTGGCCCGTCCTACGTACGGGAATAGAGTACGGTAGTCAATTAAAACTGTATATAGCGTGTCTATTACTATTTCAAGCATAGTTTAAGCGGTTCAAAATTTATAGTAAAGAAATAAAAGCTGCAAGATGAATTAAAACATGTTTTCATTGTTATTTTCCCAACCTTTCCTCAAAAAGTCGAGTAGTAAAATAGTTTTAATAAGCTTTCTTTTGAAGATACGTGAGAATCGATTTGTATACAGCAATAGTTATAGAATCTTATTTATTTCCTATAATTAATGACAAAATCACAGAGTAAATAAACATAGAATGTTTATTAATTCAACCAGCTGTTAGTTATCTATACTTATTTAATACGCAAGCATGTTTTTTGTGACAATTACTCCTCCGAAACTACCAAACCGATTGACATGTTTTCGGTGTCATTGGAAAGAGCGTAACGTGAAGTTGTGCAGGAAACTTTCTTTTTAGGGAAATAATTAGAGAGTTAGGCCCTGGGGCCCTTTAAAGTTTTGTATTTCTCCATAAGATTAACATGGGAAACAAAAATTGTTATGAAACTCCAGCTGTTGTCAGAAGTTAAAAGTGAGAAGAAGTGAGAAGAACATATGTTAATTCTGAACATTCAATAAGTTTGCTAATACAGTTTGCTACAAACATTTACTGACTTGGTTGAAATGAAATATTTACTATTTGATTTTGGATTAGCGTAAACATTACAATGGAAAAAAGCGAGAGAGCCTGAATAAATTGAAATATTCTGTTATGTACATCTTGCGTATTTCCATAATCTTTTGGTCGAATCTTTCAAAGTCATCAGATATTATGACCGTTATTCCTTTTAAAATAACGCCTCTAATACTTAGCAATTGCTCGAATTCGAGCAACAGGGACACTAGTATCAAATTATATTGCACTAAAACAAACTAAATATTTTAAAGACTGCTCAAAAATATAAGTTGGATCTAATATTTTACCATGTATATTTAACGGGATTTGGCACTGAAAATGCTAACTTCCTTAACATTATCACTAGGTCTTTCAAACTTATACCATGTGTTTTATAGGCATAAGAATAGGTATAAACATAGTTAAAAGTAAATTTTTTCGTTAAGTTACACCCTTAATATTTTTTTGTTTTTTTTTAGCGAATTTCCCTATAGGGAAGTATTTTAGCGAATTTCCCTATAGGGAAGTAGCTATTACCGTAGGTGGCATGGTAAGACCTAAGCCCAGGAGCGATTTACTTTTTCATTTTGATGTCCCCAGAGGCCAAAAACACCATTCGTTAAAATTTTTATATATGTGTATATATATATATATATATATAGATTTATATATATATATATATATGTGTCTGTGAACGCGATAACTTGAGTAATTTTTGTCCGATTTTGATGAAATTTGGTTTAAAGGTGTAAAGCGGGATAAACTTGAATGAGTTCGCAAACCAGCATGATCGGACCATGGGAACAGGGCTTTACGGGGGGTTTTATGGGGTAAAAATTGGTTTTTCTCACTTTTGACCCTCAAAACACAAAGTTTCCCAATTTCTCTTTATACCTTTTTAAAGAGCTTAAAAAAACAAATAATTTAGTATATAAAAGTATTTTTGAACGGTTATTGGTAATGGAGAAAATTTTAAAAATTTTAAATTAAAAATTCCCATGTTATTCTTATGGAGCATATTGTAAAATGTTGTAGTTTGGTTGTTTATGGATATATTTTGATCAATCTTGGCAAACTTATTTATTTTGTACTAAGCTATTAATATTTTACTAAAAAACACACTTTATTAGTTTCGTTGTAGCAGCAAACCTAGGTACTCATTTAAATATATTTAATTGAAAATCAATTCAGACAAATGGAAATTCGCTTAGTTGTCAGGTTTGTTGCGACGGGGGTATTTTAGGTAATTAACTAAATTTGATATAACTTCAGTTCTAATTATTGGATTTTAATCATTAAACCATCAGTTTGCAGGGAATAATGCCCTCTAAATATTTAGGTAGCACAGAATTATAACAGTGTCTTTAATTATTAATTTTTTATGGGTCATTTTGCAATTTTAAAAAAATAAATTGGTTTTCAGTGGAAATAAAAAGATCTTTTTTCACTTAAGAATAGACATACATTTACAATTCTACCTAATTATTTAGATAATGACATTCTTAACACTTGGTAAAAATTTGAATCATGTAGCATAAACCGTTTTGAAGATATATCAAATTAAGTAGTTAAAGACGCTAAAAAACAGATTAGCGGGAATCGCACGCTAAAGTTACACTTGGCAGTGTAACCATGGTGATACTTTTTGTTGAGTTATGGATCAATTTTTTGTTTATGCAAGCATTTTATTATTATTTATTATATTATTATGTAATTATTACCTACTTAATTATTATATAATTAATATTAAAAATAATGATAATTATTATTAGTACCTACTAAAATAAGTCAATGACCGGATCTTTTAAAAATATCTTCTGTATTTTTCTTAATATAGCCTAAGCACAAAAAAATATTTTATTTTTATTTTTGACCAATTTTTCTTATTTTTAGCATTATAAATAAAAATAATAGACAAATTTAAAAAACACTTAAAAAAAAATTCATTATTTCACTGCCATATCCCCTTAAATAAACTCTCATCCTCTTACCGAATAAATGAACCTATCAATGATTATAACATTACACATAGTACAAATAAATAAGTCAATTCTACGTATGTCATTCATTTTCATCCAAATGCTCAATTTGTGTCGAAAACGCTGAATGTTTACAGCTGTTACGTTAAGCAAATGGTATTATACCAAAAGCTAGAGTAGAATGTTAGCGTCGGCTGCTAGACTTTTAAAAATTTAAAAGTTAATTTCTAAAAAGCTGAAACCCTAAACTGATTCGACATTCCCTAGTTCTCAAAATTATCTTTCTTTCAACACAAAAATCATGAAAATCCGTCAAGTGGTTAATTCAGAATCGTGAAATAAAAAAAACCTGTCACGTTTTAATTTATAGGATTTTTGATAGTGTGTGAATAAGGAGTTTTACTTTATAAGCGCATAATTCTTTAACTTATTGACTTTCTTTTTTCCAAAATGTTTATAAAAACCTATTGAATTTGTATGGTTTATTTCCCAAAAAATAATGTCAGGGAAACGAAAGTAGCCAGTTAATATTTAAAGTTAATACTTTTAGTAAATCCCAAAGTACCCATGAACTTTTGAGAAAACTACAAGTCACAAACCCATAAACCATATACTTAAAATGTTCGTCATGACGAGAAACCTTGCGCAAAACTATCCATTATTTCATCAATTGCCCTTTAAGGTCGTAATTATTCATTTCTAAAGGGAATGTTCCATATACCTACCTAATGTTAAAAATACCTCAGCTGTACTTATTTTTGTATGTTATTTTACCCAACCCGCCAACCGTTAAACTTCCCTATCCCAAGCGTGATGTAAGCAACTTATTTACTTCACAGCGTGAAGTAAAGTTTCAAAAACTCACTCGGTGAAGTAATGAAACCCATTTAAATAGGTAACATTGAGTGCTCAACTTAAAAAATATACTTCTATGGAGCTAACGACGTTCAACGCTAGAAATCAGCTGTGCGCTTGAATTTTATTGTTATGCTTTAAAGAATTTTCCTAACCTAAATTTTGTTTGTAAAATAACCTTACTGTCAGAAGATGAGCGAAATGGATAATGAAAAATATTGTACATAACCCCCTGTATATTGTCAGGTCAGGTAAAATCTTGTATGTTACACGTTACGCAAGAGCGTGTAATCACTTAGGCCGGTTTTATGCACTGCAACAGTCGCGTGTTGCGAGTCGCGGCGCGACTCAAGTTCTATTGAGTTAAATGGGAGCATTTATGCACCACGACAGCGACAAACTGTCGCGTGAGTGAATCAGCGATCTCTAAGGTTTTAGAATCGCAGCTTCAAAAAATATGTCGCGCGCGGTTTATGTTCTAATGGATCAAATGGGCACGTTTATGCACCGCGACAGTACGGTAGTATTTTTCATACTCCACGTGGTACGGTATATTCTCCATATATTTATATTGATTAATGTTAATAATTAATACATAAATGAGTTCTTTACCCTTTATTTGTAATACAAATTACATCATTTTATTATGTAATGACATTTTTAAGAGGGTTGACCCAATTCCAACTGTAAATTGTATGTGTTGTTTAAATAACTGGGGTATTGTCATTAACATGTACAACACTACAGGGTCTATATTTAAACAACTAATCACTCCTACATGACAACCACAACACACAACATTGGATTGAGAACTGACTGAGTTCTTTAATTCCCCACCACCGGATGTGAGTTAACGCGACAAAAAAGTGTCGTTGTCGCGTGACCGATCGGTCAGCCGCAACAAATGTAGCGACTGTCGCGGTGCATAAAACCAGCCTTAGGTGAATTATGCAGCTCGCTTCCGCTCGTTGCACAACATTCACCTGCGTGATGTAAAAACACCCTTACTACACTTGTAAGGTAAATAGCTATAATTTATTACCTTATTACAATCAGTGATTATTTGTTTGTATTACTGGACTCTGTTTTGTTTATTTCAGCTTAACTTTACCTATAGTTTTATTAATACTTATGAAGTCAAACGGGGTGAAGCCCGTGGGTAACAGCTAGTGTAAATAAGAAAGCTGCCAAGGAACAAAATTGGCCACATCTGTACATAAACCAAATTATTTATGGCACGGGATGTGACTTTGTAGGACAGCGGACTAGGTCGAGGGATCATATGTGTTTTAAGCAACCAAAACAGCCTGGGCAATGTGTATGTTAAAAAGAGTTTTTGCTTGTTATAAGTGCTTAGTGCTCAGATGTAATTCTATAATATTTGTACTCAGTGCATGTTCTATTAATTTCTCATTGAGGTAGATGTAGTTCACTCATTGGACACCCTGTGTGAATGGCAGGCTATGTATAAATTGTCTGTGATGCTGGAATTCAGACTAAAAATCATATTAATTTGTTGGCTGTTTTCTTTCTTTCAGATTTTTTCCAGCACCAGAGTAACGGTGAAATATATTTTATCAAAACACATGAATACCTACTGTAATTTTATAGCTGAAAGGAATGTGTTGAAGATGAGTGAACCGGGCAAATACGTTTCCTCGAGGAGTGAAGTCGAGGCCTCTGGAGAGATCAATATCACTTTGCTGCCATAGAGTCACCAATAGATTGTCTGGCTGGCCTTGGACCTTGATTTGGGCTGAAGTAACAGTAACTCCATTGTAATTCAACTGGAACAAACAAAGACATTAGAGAAATATTTGGCTCTAAAAATGGTTCTTTTGTTGGATATAGGCTTGGTTGAATTTCAAAATTCATATTTAAATTTCATCCTTAGTTAAAGCATAGATAAAACATACTCCCTTAGTAGATTTCTCATCCTTATGGAACAGCTGAAGACAATTTTATTGTTAGTTCTGTATGGTTTATGTAGAGGTCGTGTTTTGTTTACAATTTGTTTCCCGTTATTACAGCCATTTAAAACCTCGTTTAACCAAATAATACGTTCTAATCATAAACAATAACTTGTCCCCTAGTTATATAACCAAACAGTAAAGCACAAATCAAGAAATTAACCCTAAAATAATGGAAACAAAGTTTCATCGACACTAGCGCCTTTGTGTCACGTACATGAACTAGACACGAAAAACGTGCTTCAAAATTTACAATGGGATGAGAAGTCTACTTGTGTTGGTTAGTCTATGGTTAAAGGAACTATTTCCTTACCTTCACTTTTAAAAACAGCAGCAACCCTTTAACTAGACAAAGATTTAATTGGTCAGCATCACCAAGTTTTATTCATTTCATAGAGTAATTGTTATCTATCACTAAAAATGTTCAATAATTAATTAAAATGTGAGCATTTTAAACAGAGAATACTATTAAAAAATAAAAAAGATTTATAGCAATAATTGTCTTTCAAACATAAACATATAATGTTGCCTCTTTGACTATTGATAGAACTAGACATTCTATCCCCATGACTTTGACTATTGATAGAACTAGACATTCTATCCCCATGACTTTGACTATTGATAGAACTAGACATTCTATCCCCATGACTTTGACTATTGATAGAACTAGACATTCTATCCCCATGACTTTGACTATTGATAGAACTAGACATTCTATCCCCATGACTTTGACTATTGATAGAACTAGACATTCTATCCCCATGACTTTGACTATTGATAGAACTAGACATTCTATCCCCATGACTTTGACTATTGATAGAACTAGACATTCTATCCCCATGACTTTGACTATTGATAGAACTAGACATTCTATCCCCATGACTTTGACTATTGATAGAACTAGACATTCTATCCCCATGACTTTGACTATTGATAGAACTAGACATTCTATCCCCATGACTTTGACTATTGATAGAACTAGACATTCTATCCCCATGACTTTGACTATTGATAGAACTAGACATTCTATCCCCATGACTTTAACTATTGATAGAACTAGACATTCTATCCCCATGACTTTGACTATTGATAGAACTAGACTTAATGAGTACTTTGGTTTTCTGCCAAAGGAAGGTACTAAAGGTTTTTTTATGTTAATAGCTTAATCAAAATATATCCATAAATAACCTAACTGCAACATTAAAGAATAACATAACTTGATATTTTAATTTTTGTTTCAATTTTCCCTGTAACCATTAAGTATATAATGCCTTAGCGTACAAAATTATTTGTCTTTATAAGGTCTACAAAATGGTTTGGAAAGAAATTGCCAAATTTCATGTTTTCGGGTTTAATATTGAGAAAAACCAACTTTTGCCCATTAAAACCTCCCACAAATCCCTGATCCCATATTCAGGTTCGTCCAATCATGCCGGTTCACAAACCCATTTAAATAAATATAGGTTTTTACATCTGTACCAAATTTTGAATGATTTTTACTCAAGTTTTCAGGCTAATGGACGGACGCACACACATATACACACACACAGACATATTGTATATACATGAGCCTATAACCGTATGCATTTAAATTGCTGGTGTTTTGGCCTCTGAAACCAGTGGCGGATCCAGAGGGGGGGGCCAAGGGGGCGACCGCCCCACCTCGGGCATACATATACATACATTTTTTACTGCATGTAAGTAGTGGATACACATTGCGTAAAATAATTTGTAAACTTTGGACAAAGAAATGGAATAAAAACTGCCATTTTGGAGACTTATTTCACACCAATTTTCCGGGAGGGTAACCCCGAACCCCCTAGATCCCCTGGTTCGCCCCCCCCCCCCTTGTGACTGTTCTATATCCGCCACTGTCTGAAACATCAGCCTGGGTCTTACCATGAGACCTACAGTCCTACAGTAATAGATTATTAAGGGAATTTGTTGAAATAAAGTAGAAAATACAATTTTAGAAACTAGCTCTGTAACTGGTTCAACCAACTATGCTCTTTTTTATTAAAAAAATTGGCGACAACTTGTCCATATAGATGGGATATTGTCTACTTCATAATCGAAAAGTCAGTTAGTTTCAATTGCTATAACATTATTTAAGCTTTAAGTGGGTATGTCAACAAAATAACACACAAATTCAAATTCGTTTGTCGTAGTTTTACCGTAATGTTTAGAAGACTGACTTTACATTGCCTTTTAAAAATGGTTAAATTAAATTAATTACTTGATCAACAGTGTAGCGAGGAAGGAGATTCTTGTGCTCCTGGAAGATGTCGTCCACAAACGCATGCCAGCGGTAAAACACAGGATCCCTCATGGCAGTGGCTGGGTCACCCATCACCCCAAAGGTCTCCTAAATATGCAAAATATCCTTAGAGCTATATGCTCAGCCTACCTAAATCCAAACACAAACTGAGGATTTTTGCCAGGAACTCTTTCTACATCTATCTATCTATTATCTATTATTATAAAATTGAGGTGGAATCTGTCTGTCTGGGCGGCTGTCACAACTAAAATACTAAACCAATACAGGCAAAACTAAGCACAAAGATGGTCCACATACCTAGGAATGTCTTAGGCCTATTAGTTCACTTCCTTGAGTTCCTCTCTGGCTACGCCCCTTGGACGACCAAAGTTTTAAGGTGAGGTGTTTCAAAAGTAAATATCGATTGGTCTCCATGGAAGCATGAGAAATCTCACAAATTTTACCTTTGCATTGACATTTAACAAACAAGCAGATCTGCCAAATACTTATTCCACAATTTGAGACAGCTTATCCAAACAAATTAAATATAATATTTTACACAACTTTGTGGTAGGGTAGGTTTATTAATTCCTAAGCTTTGTCATTGATTATTTATTCTAAAACTATGTGGTTGATTATGGAAATAAAATAGTTATTGTGTAACTATTGGGCAAAGTGGCACTTTGCTACACACAAGAGAAATGTTTACGAGTGCAGCAAAGGCAGTTTGCACTCGCGTTACACATTATGTTTTTACTACAGTTACTATAAGGCATATAAATAATTAGTCTTTCAAACACTGTACAACACGTTTTTAGGTTAGGTTAAATCCAAACATTGAACGAAATGGGAAACGCTGCACCAGCTGATCGTAGTCGTAATATCTTTAGGCGTTGCCAACTTATTTTCAAGCGTACACGTATTATGTGCCTAATAAAAGCACGCTGTTTTGTGTTGTTTGTTTGGAATACTGGTGTGCGGCAAAAGTAAAAAGTGTGCGGCAAAAGTAAGTATAGATGCAGCAATTAGCAACTTTCTGTGCTATAATCAGTGCAAAAGGAAGGCCACTTTGTCAGGCGACTGTAGGAAAAAAATATTCTTTATCCATTACTGTATCGACCCAAAGATAGCTTTAACTATTAAGAGCTGTTATGATATCAAGGGAACACCCGTTCTTTGAAACTGAATTATCTTCCCGTTGCACAGCAGCTGTTCTTTAATAAATTTAAAAAGTAGATGCAGTAGGATATAATATGGCTCAAAGTAACCAAGTATATTTGTGGTAAAGTTGATGAAAGTTGTTGTTGAACTCAGTTCTTAATTGAGTATACTATCAACTTTTACATACAGGTATAGGAGTTGTTTTAAAGTGTTAACATTCATGTTGTATGGCTCTAAAAAGGAACTTTACGACTTCCTTTATATAAACATAAAATATATTTATTGACTTTTTATTCTTTGATTTAGGTCGTCAATGTAACATTGTAGAGGCACAAGTGACTTACGAGATGACGATTGTCAGGGTCATGGGAGAGAGAGATGGCAACGTGTCCTCTGTTGTGGAGATCTCCGTACACAAACTGGTTGATTGTCAAGATACTAGCCTCCATCATGTTGCCGAGAGTGTCGATTCCGGTTTCTTCATCCAGTGGTTGGATTTTTCCATCGGCCTTTTAGACAAAGAATTTTTGTTTGGTAAAATTTAGTTAACTGTATAGAGAATTGGTTATTTTAAATTCTGGATTACTTGATTACATATAAAATAACGCTGTGTATTTAACCATCCTATGGAAATAAACATTTTAAAAAATACCCCCGCCCCAGCAAACCTGCAGACTAAGAGAACTTCTATTTGCCTGATTTGATTTTCAATTATTTGTAATGCTACCTCCTCAGGGGGGAAGCCGCTAGGAATCGGAAGAAAATTGTAAACGTAAGCATAATTTGATATGCAAATCAAATTAAAGGTCTTTTTTAGTACATTACAATGCCACAAATTCAAGCTCAAAAGAACAACTGAGTAAAAATTGGCGGCCGTTCAAAGATTCAAAATGGCAGAGATTCAAGATATCTTTGAACGGCTACCACTTTTGACTCGGTTGTCCGTTTGAGTTCAAATTTGCAGCATTATATACTGCTAATAGAGCCCTTTAATTCGATGTATCAACCTATGCTCCTGTTTAAGATTTCCTTCTGACTCCTTGCGGGACGGGACGTTCTCATGATACGACAGAAAACTGACAGTTAAAAGTAGATTTTTAGGTGCCGTTTTGATTTACCAAATCTCATTGATTTATCTGTTATAGTTTAGAAAATATTAAGCCTGTGCAGGACTTAACACAACCCTGTACACTCCCTGTATATACCCTGTGAATATACACAAATTTGAACGAATAGTGTTTTTAGCCTCCAGGGACATCAAAATGAAAAGGTATATCGGTCCCGGGTCTAGGTTTTACTGTGCCCCCTACGGTAATAGCTACTTCCCTATAGGGAAATTCGCTAAAAAAAAAAAAAAAAACTATAAGCCAGGTCAATTACAGTGATGAGGACTTAATGGAGGATTACTCCAATACAGGAAAGCCCTTTATATTTCTGTATATACTGTACCGATCTAAAGATGAATAGATAAGACAGATCAATTGAACAAGAGCACTAAAAATTGAGTAAACTGAACCACCTAAGCCTCCCTGTTTTCTAAAAGTTGGGGAGCTTCCAAACTTGAAGTACATTTTAAAGAACCACAGGTTATTTGTGAGATGCTGAGCAATAACAGTTCAGTACACTGTGGAATATTTAATATGTTTTCAATCCTTTCTTATTTTTAAATGATGCTAAAATTGACTTTGTTAACCGAAGGAAGACCAATGGAAAGAAAATTATCACTATGAATCCAATTTGGCTAGTTTGTAAAGATTTTAATCCAAATAAAACTAACATAATGTATGAGTGATAGTTTAAAGTTTTTAATTAAACCATTCTATAATTTTAATTCATTACTGTGTGTGAAATTGATGTTTTCAAACTTAAGCCGGGTTTACACGATGCCAGTTGGTGAGACAGTTTTCTTTGCCAATTAATTGGCATCACGTGATTGCAGGATTGTCAGAGGCCAGTGGTCCTCCTCGTTGTCCCAATCCACTACCAGAGACAACTGAATTTCAGGGCAATTGTGAGGGCAGTTAGCAAGACAATTGGCCTGAAGTCTTTAAGCCGCGTTTACACGAGGCCAGTAGAGCAAGCAGGTAACGGGGCAGGTTAATTGCCTCTAATGTAACCTATTCAAGGAGATTGATATTTGTACATACAGGGTGAGTTTTAATTGTCCCCCCCCCCAACTTTTTTCTACATTTTTTCAAATATCAATCCCAGACCACTTCCAAACATTGTTGGGTAGTAAGTACTTCATTTTGACAAGGTGGTCATTTCCGGCCGCCATCTTAGATCCGCCATATTGGATGCAAAATATTTTTTTCAAATGTAAAGGTGGGCTTGTGACCCATTATTTCGAACTAGATTTTTACCCTAGTTAGCGTAGTTGATAGCGTCTTGGACTGGTGTTCTGGAGGTCTCCAGTTCGAATCCAGCCGAGGACACAAACTTTTTGTCAAAGATTTAGCTTAGAATGTGAATACTTCTTAACTGTACATCTTTGTTAGAATTTGAGGCATTTATAATTTTATTTATGAACAGAACTATTTTTTTTAATAGTAAACCTTCATTCGATTTTTATCTTATATCTTTTAGAGGATTTCCCATATAGGGAATAAGCTATTACCGTAGTACTCATGGTAAGACCTGGACCTGGGACCGATTTAATTTTTCATTTTGAGGTCCCTAGAGGCCAAAAACACCATCCGTTCAAATGCATATATACAGGTGCGGCAAAAAAAACGATCTATTTTCTAAAGAGCAGGTCGTCCGAGAGTGGTGGTAGTAGGCTCGTTGGAAAGCTTACAAAATGCCATTTTATGTAGTCATAGAGCAGTGGTCACCTGAGCAAGTGCGGTTGTTATGGAGCCGTTTTTATAACATAGTGAATTCATTGGTACTCAGCGGCAGTTTCATGCATTCTTCAATTAAGGCGACATGGAGAAGTTCCGTTGCGTATCACAATAATGCGGTGGGTTACTTACTTTAGGACAACAGTTTCTGCATTGAAAAGGAAGCTGACAGGCCGTCAAAAGTCAGATCGGACGCCAGACAACTAACATTCGATAGAGTTTGTGCTGCTGTGGAAAACAGTCCTCGTAGGCCAGCCTGAAAACAAGCAGCTGCCTTGAACATGTCTGACCGCTCAGTTATACAAATTTTGAGGTTAATTTTCATCCCTATGGATTAGAATAATAATCTGTATAGTTTGGTAATCATCCATACAGATAATCACAACGGAACCTCTCTATGTCGACCTAGTGAATAAAAGCACGGAACTGCCCTGTATAGTTTGGTAATCATCCATACAGATAATCACAACGGAACCTCTCTATGTCGACCTAGTGAATAAAAGCACGGAACTGCCCCTGAGTTGCAATGACTAAATCATAACTTTTTAAAAACGACTCGATAAAAACCACACGCAGCTCATACAACCACTGCTCTATGACTTTAAAAAATGGCATTCTTTAGGCTTTCCAACGAGCCTACTCCCACCACCCTCAGACGACCTGTCGCTGAACAGTGCGTTGCAGACAATGGTTCGGTTTTTTTGCCGCACTCTGTATATATACTAGTTGTTACCCACGGGATTCACACCGTTTGGGGTACAAACGTGTAAACCTACGTTTATTCGACTGGCATGATCGGACCATGGGAACGGGGGTTTATGGGGGGTTTTATGGGGTAAAAATGGGGTTTTTCCGATTTTTGACCCAAAAAACATAAAATTTTGCAATTTATTTCCAAACTATTTTGTAGAGCTTAAAAAAAAAAACAAATAATTTAGTATATTGAAGCGTTATAATGCGCCTAATGGTTACGGAGAAAATTCCAAAAAATTGTAAATTTAAAATTCCCATGTTATTTTTATGGAGAATAAGTAAACTGTTGTATAAAGTTTGCTTGTTTATTAACATAATATGCCCAAATTTGGAAAATGTTTTTATTTATTACTAACTATTAACATTTTACATAAAAAAACACTTTTACCCTCCCTGTTGCAGCAAACCTAAGTACGTGTTAAACTATTTAAATATTCGCTTAGTCTGCAGGTTTGCTGCGGCGGGGGTATTTTATATTACAGCAAGTTTGGTTGGTTAGGTTAGGTTATGACAGTTTAATTTTATAATACTGTACTAAATTTTCAAATTAATTCTATAATTAAAAATTATAAGTAAATTTTCATTTGATTTTTATCTTATATCTTTTTTGTATTATCAGTAATTTTGGTTGGTTAGGTTAGGTTGTGACAGTTTAATTTTATAATTTTAAAATTAATTTTATAATAAAAAAATTAATTTTATAACTAAACATAAATTAATTAAAAATTTTACAACTTAGCGGTTTTAGCGGCGAACGCTGACACTAAAAGATATGGCATCATCACACCATTAGCCATAGTACCTCCCGTATGCCCCACCTCGGTGAGTATATTTACAGGTCACCAAGAACAGATGTAAATATTTTTCTGGACAGGTTAGATATTTTAATAACAAGTATGATAAAATTATTGTAGCAGCAATATTGATGTTTTAGTATCGGATAGCAGAGAGAGATTGTTACAACAGATGTTAGAAAGCAAAAATATGAGGTACCTTGTCGATTTCCCAACAAGAGTTATCTATATATATAAAAGGCAAAGCCCTCACTGACTCACTGACTGACTCACTCACTCATCACTAATTCTCCCACTTCCCATTTACCTAGGAGGCTGAAATTTGGTACACTAATTTTTTAGGCATTAAATAGGAAAACTAAGTAGTTTTTATTCTGATCAGACTCTCGGGCTCCGCCCCAGTGGCTCTGGAGTTTCCCATGTTAACCTTATGATTTTTCATATTTTAAAATAATTAATGAATCTTAACAGCTGTTTCAATTAAACAAGTTGGTTCTATTCTATGATGTTCAATAGCATTAAAGTTACAAGGATTACCAACAGGGTGCAGCACTATTATTTTTTAAATTTATAACAACAGCTAATTTGCAACCAAAAGGTGAGTGAGCGTAGCGAACGAACTTCAACCTGGAGGCGAGTTAGCGTAGCGAACGAGCGAACCTGAAGGCAAGTGAGCGCAGCGAACGAGCTCCAACTTAAAGGTGAGTGAGCGTAGCGAACGAACTTCAACCAGGACGTGATTGAGCCATGCGAACGAGCTCATCTTGAAAATTAAGAAGTTAAACGGGGCAAAGCCCGAGGGTACAGCTAGTAGATAATAAAGCCACAGCAATAGATAACTTTTATTTGATAAAAAAATATTGAATTATTAAACTTGAAAGTAAAAGGTCTGGTTACTTTCTTATTTGACCATGATGGACAGCTATTAAAAGTAAAATGCCAACATTCTATGAAAACCGTAAATTTGCTGATTAAAAACGAGTTGCGAAAATTTTCATCTGAAAACATTAAACTTTTTAAACAATTACTTTCCAAAGAATCATGGTTTGATGTCTATAACTCCAGAGTAGAAAGAAAGTAAGGTTTTTTTTTATTTTTTTCTTTATAATTTGATCAGGCTTTTCCAAAAATATTGGTTACAAAGAGAAATAAAAACGTACATGGATAGCTAAATAATTAAAGATTAAACAACAGCATATTATTCAACTGACTTAGGAATATTGTAGTAAAAAAAGTATTAGCTTAAAAAGATTGCTTACGCCAGGAAAAGACTACTTATTTAAGAGAACTAAATAAGGCTAAACACAGATAATAAAAAAAAAATTGAAAATTCCCAAAACATTTAGAAAACCGTCTGGAATATAATAAACTCCGTAGTTGGGGAAAATGACAAGAAACCATTAAAAAATATAATTTTAAACAAAATTCAGAAACAATTTTAGACCCTCTGGTAAAATTGCAAATATGTTTAATGGTTATTTTAGTAACATGGTTACAGATTTAAATTTAGATTGTAACAATCAAAATGTGACGACTGATGTGAAAGCTGATTTTATCGATGACTTGTTTGTAAAGTCAAAATTTGAGCTGAAACCGATCACTGAAAGGGAGGTGGAAAAAATCATTCAATCTTTAAAAAATAAACACTTGGGCATGATGAGATTCCTGTAACAATAATAAAGGCAAAAACCTACATCAGCAAAATTGTATGTCATCTGATCAATTCTTTGTTTGTATCAGATGTTTTTGCTAACATATTAAAGCAGTCAAAAATAATTCCTTTACACAAAAAAATTACGCTGAAAATATATCCAATTATCGCCCACAGTATCTGCCCTTCCTTCAATTTCTAAAGTGTATGAAAAAGCCGTCTACTTACAATTATCAGAGTTGTTGGAAAAATGTTATATTTTGGATGACAATCAGCATGGATTCCGGAATGGAAGATCAGTTGTGAGCTCAGCTGTTCAGTAGACAAAGGACATTATACAATTAACATATTTATGGACCTTTCTAAAGCGTTTGATAGTGTAAAACATAGTAAATTACTGAAAAAAACTTAAAATAATTGGAAAATCTAAAAGAGCTCTTAATTGGTTTTTTTCCTATTTGACAAATAGATCTCAATTCGTGGAAATTACTCATTTGACAAATCATAAAGGAATTATTAACTTATCAACCAATTAAATTTGGGGTGCCACATACAAGGTTCAATTTCGGGGCCTTTGCTTTTTTAGTGTTACCTTAAATTAAAAGGGCATGGAAGATACTTTAACCTACTAGTAAAATTATAAATTATGTCTTTACGCTAATGATTCTAATTTGATTGTATCATCTAACTCTCCAGAAGAAACTGAAATTTTTACATATGTAGAATTAGATATTATTGGAAACTATTTCTACAATCATAACTTATTATTAAATTCACAAAAAACTAAATTTATAAATTTCAGAACAACAGAGAACAAAATTACAAAAGAGACAACAATAACTTACAACTCAAATAACATTAAAAGGAAAATCAAATCAACTTTCTTGGTTTAACAAAAGATGAAATTTTGAATTGGGATAAACACTCACAGAAAGTTTTAACAAAAACTAACACCAGAATTTTCGCATTATCAAAAATGTCCCTTTATTGTAAATTGAAGACCCTAAAAATTATATATTTTGCTCACATTGTTATGGGTCAACAAACAAATTAAATATGGATAGCTTTCTCAAGCGGCAAAAAGAGGCTATCAGAATTATGCTAAAGCTTAAACAAGATGATTCGGCAAAAGAACATTTTAAGATATTAAACATTTTTACAGTTTATAGGCAATATATTTATGAAACAATTCTTATCGCAAACAAAATGAATCTGAGCAAGTAATAAATTTAGTGCATTCTTATAATTTCAGGAGGAGAAGGGAGTTTGTCCAACCTCACAAATTAAAATTTTTTGGAAAAAAAACCTCATACGCTGGTAACGATTATCTAAAATTTGTCACTGAATTCATAGAAAAAGAAACAAATCTATCTAAAATCAAGAAAATTCTAAAAGAGCATATAATAAATCTAGCATTATATTCTTTTGATGAGTTTTCCACCTCCCATAAATAGAAATAGTATTTTTATTTTAAATATTCTGACACTATTCACTGTACCACCAATGTACATGATTTATGACAAATAAAGATGCTTGAATATGAATATGAATATTTCAAGTTACCTGAGGCAAGTAAACTACCCTCCAACTACTGGTCTCAAGTAAACACGGCCTTACTTGAAGCCAATAATTTCATGCCAGTTAGTAATCTTCTGACAATATTGTCTCACCTATTGGCACCATCTAACTCGGCTTAAGCCGGGTTAACACAATGCCAGTAGGCGAGACAATTGTCTTTGCCAATTGTCATCACGTGGTTGCGGAATTGTCGTAGGCCTGTCAAGATGAACAAGAATCTGTTCACACGTGACCAACAATTACCTAGGCACTTGACAGTGAACTAGACAAGACAACACTATTAGTCTACACCGTTTACATGGCGCCAATTGTCGCGACAACTGAGTTTTCGTGGGGTAGGGGGCCTCACTGGACCCAGCTCGTTGTCCTCAGTCTACTCACGGAGTCAACTGAATTTCGGGGTAATTGTGAGGGCAGTTGGCAAGGCAATAGGCCTGAAGTATTTACACCAGAGCTTTTTTTAAGGGATTTCCACTGGGCGACAGCGGCACCGGACTCACTGGGGGGTCTGGGTCCCCATCAAAATGGGGGTCCAAGGGTTCTCCCCGGAAATTTTTGCATAAATTATAAAGTGAAAATCACACATTTCTACGTATATTTTAATGATTTTTTCGATTATATTTGCTTGTAAATAGTCCATGTAATCTCACTGAATTACGTATTCTTGAATGATATAACAGACCAATGCTCCCTTCACAACCTCTACGGCCAAAATCATAGCTCAATACTTTAAAATGTTTACATAATGCTATTTTTTTAATTCTGATACATTTAAAATGTGAATAATAAAAAAAATATGCCAGCACCACCCATAGTCACTGGACAACAAAATTTCAGCACTGACATGTTATTTTATGCCCTGGTTTACACGAAGCCAATAATTTCATGCCGGTCAGTTGTCTTCTGACAATTGTCTAACCAACTGGCATCATGTAAACCCGGCTATAAGCTGTGTTTTAACGAGGCCAGTAGTCTAGTTACCTGAGGCAAATAAGCTGCCTGCCATTAACTGGCCTCATGTAAACCCGGCTATAAGCTGTGTTTAAACGAGGCCAGTAGTCTAGTTACCTGAGGCAAATAAGCTGCCTGCCATTAACTGGCCTCATGTAAACGCGGCTATAAGCTGTGTTTAAATGAGGCCAGTAGTCTAGTTACCTGAGGCAAATAAGCTGCCTGTCATTAACTGGCCTCATGTAAACCCGGCTATAAGCTGTGTTTAAACGAGGCCAGTAGTCTAGTTACCTGAGGCAAATAAGCTGCCTGCCATTAACTGGCCTCATGTAAACCCGGCTATAAGCTGTGTTTAAACGAGGCCAGTAGTCTAGTTACCTGAGGCAAATAAGCTGCCTGCCATTAACTGGCATCATGTAAACCCGGCTTAATACGTTGAAAATTTATTGGTGGGGACAACCTTAATGCAATATTTTATGGGGAATAGAAAAATATGCAGGTGTTTCCTATAAACTACAGGGTGTTTTTTTATGTGCAACCCAAATTAAAAGCAATGTGAGACAAATTTAAATGACACAACAACCTTATATTTTGGTATCACTGTTTTCTTTACTTCAATTCTGATCAGCTGATGTGCGTTGTTGAGCTTTCTGTGCTTTCTATGAGATTTATTATTATTGGAATTTATTGTAAATGAGACACAACAAGGTGTTTCCCCAGTCTCAAAGAGTTAGAATAATACGTTGAAAGTAAATCATTGCATTTGTGCCAAAAGAAAGGTTTGAAACTAAAGTTTCCAGGTGTGATCCCAGTACCTACAAAATTAATTATTACTGACCTATACAAATTATTTAAGGAAAACTTAAATCTCTAGATTTAAGTGAAAATTAAAATTTGTCATTTTTGGTTTCCTATGGATGCAGTTTCCTTAGATTTGTACTATTATTGACATGTAAATATTTAAGGATTTTTTTTTGTACTACCGTATTTATGTTGTATTTTTCTAGCTCTTTGAGATTGGGGAAACGCCATGTTGTGTCTTATTTACAATCAAATCCCCATAACACTAGACCTCATAGATAACTATGCATATTATGCAACAGCGCATATTAGCTAATCAGCAATGAAGTAAAGAAAACAGGGATACCAAAATGTAAGGTTGTTTCGTCATTAAAATGTCTCTCGCAGTACTGTACTTTTAATTTGGCTTGCACGTTAAAAAAACACCCTGTAAAACTGAAATCCATACTATATGAAAGACATGATTACTGCGTGAATTGGTTTATTTACTATTGATAAATATTGGTCAAACTAACCGTCACCACAGATCCAATGTGGATAGCTTGATAGAAGCGGTCTCGCCAACGTTCCATGTCCCCAATGTCAAACCTTATCTGTTCTACTTCACGGTTGATATCCTGTAAGTGTTTCACATTTATTGAACTAAAAGTATTGACAATACCACAGTGATAAAATTATTGCAAGGGAGTAAGTCAATTTTCTAAAAGATTTACAGATTGTATCTGTATAATATGAATTATCCTTACTTTTTTATTGATTCATCACTTCACATAATAACTTAAAACAATACAGCAACACACTTAGGTGTGTAGCCTATTTTAAGCTGATGCATGGTGGGTGTAGAATCAAGTCAGCTGCATCGTGCAGCTTTGTTAATGACTAAGCAAGCAGTTTCTATATTAAGGACCATTAATTAACAGCCCAATGAGGACTATTAGGTGCAGTTTTAAATTTGTTACTCATGTCATAAGACATATTGTTATTTCATTGAAGATAGATCTTTTAAGAATTTCAACATACACTTTTTTTACATCACTTTATAAAAAATAAAACTTTTCACAGGTTTAGAAAGTAAAAAAAAAAAAAACTTGAATGGTGCCTGGTAAAGGTAGGCCTATATCATTAGCAGGGAAGATAAGTTGTTGTTTGCATTAAAACTTACATTTAATAATTTTACAAGTTCTGCTTTATTAATTTTAAACCAAATTGTAGAAATGTTTTGTCTCTTTACTGTGAAACAGGTCACTAGGTTAAGGAAATACATTTTCAGATCCCAACCAGTATTTATTTTGCAAATTGACGCAGGGAAGAAATCCAAACACACTGTACTTCGTTCTACACTTATTTGCTCTTTACCAATACCCATGGATATTTTTTCACAATAAAGTATCCCCAGAGGTAGAGATGATCTCATAAAAGTTAAGTGTATTTTGTTACTGACTTACAGACAGAATGGTGTTAGAGTTACGAGGAGCCCACACCCTACTGGATACTAGACTGTCCAGCTTGGGGAAGTAGCCCTCAGGGATTGGCTCCCTCCAGTTGAGGAGTCGCTTGGTTCGAGCCAAATTCATACTGAATCTCTCAAAGTTGTACCTAGAAAAATCAGTTGTAATAAAATAATGGTCCTTTGCATAAAATGTTGGAATAAAGTTTGTTAAAGTTCTGCTAGTCTACTAATAAACCCGGCTATATTGCCCTACCAGTATAGTTTGAAAAAAATTGTGCGTTATATCTTTTAGAGCAAGGATTATTCTTCTTCAAAATGATTTATGAACGTTTCATACCTAGCCATGATCTGTTGATGCATGTAGAAGAACAACTCGCCACGTCTGTCCTTGTTCACAATCTCACGAGGGGCGTCCGTGGGGTAGACGAGGTGCCAGTGCCAGTGATGCAGGTTGATGCCGATGTCCTCTCGGAAGTATGCTACTCTGTGTTCCTCCTCCAAGTCTGATGCCGTGTAATCACGAGGAATTATAAGCGGCATCTGGAATGCAAGCAATCGTAATTTGCAACAACTATGTACTAAAATATAACCTTTACTCTCCACCGCTAACATTTTGACAACACTTTGGACAGTTCTAAACAAAGTAGCATGGCTGTACATTTTGTGTAGCTGTACTATGCACAATACTAGCAAATGGCATCAACTGGCACTTACTCAATTGGCACTCTTATTTAATGACTGTAAAATTATTGTAATCAAAGTACGCCCCTATTTCCACCAAACTCCGCCACTCACTCGCTCGACAGGGCGGCAAAGAATACTGTCAGATCATTTTGCCGCTCCCTGTATAACGTATGACGGATTAACGTTAATCCTATGCTTAGTTACAGTGGTCATACAATCACTTACTTCTGCTGGAATTACAGTAACTGGCTAGTAAAAAGCTTCCACATCCCAGGTCTTCATACTCAATGGGAATGGTCCAAAGTCTGATTGTGTTACCATCCTACAATACTATTTGTTAGATAGCATTAATCAAATAGCCCTACGACGAATGGTATCTGGGTACAGAAACGATCTTGCTTGGAATTGAACCAGTGGCTTTTATATTTGATGGTGAGCAGTCTGACTATTTTGTTGACCCAGGCTGATTTTCTTTCCAATCATTTACTAAAATGTCTACCGCAGCACTGCTGCCGGTCTATATTTATTCTATTTGTCTATGCTACTACAGAGAAATTATTGGACCAAATTTATTATTAACCAAATATATTAAATTAAGGTGTCTAAATCTGATAATAAAATGATTATTTCTTAAGATAAAGATACAACTTTTTCAGTAACACCCAATCTTTCAACTTACCCTTTCTCCAGAATTTTGCACGATTGTGCTCTCTTCCTTAGCTCGGGAAAACACTGCAGAGTCCATGTACTTCTCTGGGAACACCTCAGCAAAGGAAGGCACAGGGACATTTCTAGTGTCCTTCCTGTGAAGAATGGCAACAGAGTAGGCGTAGAAGAACAAGAAAGAGTTGACTCTATCGCGAGCGTAGAGTGCAAAGGAAGTGAAGTCTTCCAATGTCGGTTGGCCTGAAAATGTAATGTTAGGTTTCATAAAATAGGAATTGTTCATCAAAATTAACTGAACTACAGCTTTTAGTTATAGTGAACTTGATTTGTTTATAAATATTGTGTCAGCTCCCAGTAAATGTCAATTTTATGAATATTGAATGTACAGGGTGTGGCAATAAAACCGATCTATTTTATGCAGCACACGCTGCCTAGAGCAGTGGTCACCTGAGCAACGTGCGTTTGTTATCCAGTCGAATAAGTAGCACAACCGGAGCGGTGGGATTCCTTTAAGTAGTACAATCATGTGGTGGGTTACCAACTTTAATACAACGGCTTCTGCATTAAAAAAAGCTGACAAACCGTCTAAAGCAGATCGGATGCCAGACAACTAACATTCGATAGAGTTTGTGCTGCTGTGAAAAACAGTCCTCGTAGGCCCACCTGAAAATAACCATCTGCTTTAAACATGTCTAACCGCTCGGTTATACTAATTTTGAGGTTCAATCTTAGTTCTTATCCCTACTCTTACCAATAAGTACTCTCCACTTCTCATCCCCCCCTTTAATTATGTTGATTATCCATACAAATAATCGCGACCGAACCTCTCCATGTCGATCTAATTTAAAGAATGCATGGAAATGCTGCTGAACTGCATTGACTTAAATCATTATTTCTTTAAATCTATTCTAAAACAAACGCGCGTTGCTCAGGTGACCACTGGTCTATGACTACAGATAATGGCATCGTGTAGGCTTTCCAACAAGCCTACCCCCACCCCCCTCAGACATTGCGCTGACATCAAATAGACAGTTTTTTCCCGCACCCTGTACAATCTAAAAACTCTGCATATGGTTCCTCAGAAATAAAGACAGACAAAATACAATTTTGACATTCAATGCTGTGCCTTATGTTTGATTTTGTTGCTCTTTCATACATACAAAATGAATAATTATAAAGTAGTATAACTAATCAAGAACTTATTAAAAATCACCAAGTACCATAGATAAAACATACTCCCTTAGTAGATTTGTCATGAGATGTTGGATGAGTCTTGAATGTTACTGCATGAACTATGCATTGTTTCTGACTAAAATCAGCTGGTTCTTTAGTCTAATCTTTGGACCATTTGTAAAAAGCCGAATGATGTGAAGAGCAGCTGGGTCCAGTTTCAAACTATCAAAAGCCTTACAAAGCAGAATTATTTAATTGATGTAAATTTTTAACAGATAATAATTATTAATATGATCTCCTATTGGTTGTGATGACCTCTTATACTCACTCATGAACTGCTCTATGAGTGTAGAGGCCATCTTGCGATGCGAGGGAATGAATAGGGAGAAGTTGTCTTGACGACCAAGGCCCAGTGCTACTGACAGGTCGGGAATGTTGATCTTCTTGACACTGATCCGCTCTTTGACATTTTCTCCAAATCGATTGTTGAGTTCTTCTTGTAAAGGTCTATAGCGTTCAACCTAAGAGTATAAATAAATCTATATTTATAAAAGAGGAAGTTTGTATTTATTTATATATATATGTATGTATTTGAACGTTATGGACTCCGAAACCGCTCGACAGATTGTAATGAAACTTTCAGGCATTATTAAGCATTATTCAAGGATGGTTTGTGTGAAGTTTGGTGCAGATCCGTCAAAAGGGCTCCGCCCCAGTGGCTCTGGAGTTTCCCATGTTAACCTTATGAGTACTTATATTTAAATGGAATTAAAGAATCTTAACAGTTGGTCCAAGTGAACAATTTGATTCTGTGATGTTCAATAGCATTAAAAAGTTAAAAAATTTACCAACAGGATGCAGCAATATATTTTTTTTAAATTTATGACAAAAGCTAATTTGCAACCAAAAGGTGAGTGAGCGTAGCGAACGAACTTCAATCTGGAGTGGAGTTAGCATAGCGAACGAACTTCAACCAGGACGTGATTGAGCAATGCGAACGAGCTCATCTTGGAAATGAACGAGCATTTGACATAAAACCACATTAGGATAGGACGACGTCTGTCGGGCCAGCTAGTTAAATATAAAATAAAAAAATGCAAAAACAAAAAACTCCCTATTAAAAACCAAATGCTATTAAGGGAACATGCGTGATAAATTAAATATAAAACATAAAACAGTTGAAAAAACAACCTTTCAACCCGGCACTTAGATCCCATTATATAAACTATAGGAACACATTGAATACTGCGATCAAAAGCGCAAAAGAAAAATACAACAAGGCTCAAATATCTGACTCATTAAATAACAAACGACGCCTTTGGAAAAACATGATAGAAAATACGGGACTTAATAAAAATAAGGACGATTACCCTGTAAAACATTTTTATCACATAACCAAACTTCAGAAGAGGACCCAATAAAAAAAATGCTATGTGTTTAACGGCTACTACGTAGATGTAGGTGCCAACCTAGCTCGTGCTGTCCCCCAGGTTCTAGAACCAGTAATCAACAATGACGATTTCCAGACGGATACCACTTTCCAGCTGTCGCCCGTGAGTGAGGCGGAGCTGTCAACTGTCGTTCGGGGTATGAGAGGGGGGTCTGCTCCTGGGGCTGATAACATTCTGGCAAAACTTATCAAAAATAACTTTGAAGAATTGAAATATCCACTTTTACATATAACTAGCTGTAACCCGCGGTCTTTGCCCCGTTTAACTTCTTAATTTTCAAGATGATCTCGTTCGCATGGCTCAATCACGTCCTGGTTGAAGTTCGTTCGCTACGCTCACTCACCTTTAGGTTGGAGATCGTTAGCTACGCTCACTCACCTTTAGGTTGGAGCTCGTTCGCTGCGCTCACTTGCCTTCAGGTTAGCTAGTTCGCTACGCTCACTTGCCTTCAGGTTAGCTCGTTCACTACGCTAACTCGCCTCCAGGTTGAAGTTCGTTCGCTATGCTCACTAACCTTTTGGTTGCAAATTAGCTGTTAAATGTATAAATGTATAAATTGTAAAAGAAATAATAGTGCTGCACCCTGTTGGTAATCCTTGTAACTTTAATGCTATCGAACATCATAGAACAGAACCAACTTGTTTAATTGAAACAGCTGTTAAGATTCATTAATTCCATTTCTCATAAGGTTAACATGGGAAACTCCAGAGCCACTGGGGCGGAGCCGATTGGACGGATCACGAAATTGATGGTGTATAAACCTATTCCATGAAATTCTACACGTATGTACCAATTTTCGTGGGAATCGGTTCAGCAGTGTCGGAGTTTATCACTGCCAAATATATATACAAACATCCTCTTTTATACTTATAGATTAACACCAGTTTTTCGCAGGGTACATTTCTAAAAATTTTAAAAGTCGGTAAGGTACCGGTAGTTCCTATATTTAAGAATGGTGAAAAAAATCAATTTATTCGTCCAATTACTTTGGCTAGTGTACTCGCTAAACTCATCGAAAAGTGTGTTACAAAACAATTTGAAAACTACTTAATAAATTTTCAATTACTTTTTGATTAAGTTTGGTTTCCGTACGGACAAAAATTTAAATGATGACCTTTTTTCTTTAACTAATAGTTTGCATGATTATATTAGTAACCACAAAAACCCCTTGATTGTCTTTATAGATTTAGCTAAATCCTTTGACAGCGTAGACAGACGATTACTTCTAAAAAGTTGAAATGTATAGGGGTACGAGGCATCACTTTAAAATGGTTTGAAGATTATCTTGCTGAACGTTTCCAAATTGTCTTGATTTTAAACCAAAATATTTCACTAAAAAGAATTGATTATGGAGTTATCCAGGGTTCGACCTTGGGGCCTCTGTTATTTTTAATATACATAAATAAGCTAGGCAACATTAACTTAAAAAGACAACAGATCTTTCTGTCGCTCAATTCGCTCAACACATCATTGACAATAAACATGATATGCTAGACATAAATGATAATGATGGTCTCGATATTCTTCATTATTGTGGGAAAGGAAATGTATTAAATACACTCGAAGAATTCGAAATATGTAACGATATAAATACCAGGGACAGCAAACAAATTTTGAATGAAAAACTCAATTACGAATCTCATTATGTTTACAACACTCTCCTCCGTCACTACAATAGACCAGTATCAGCTGTTGATAATGCAGATGACAACCCAGAGTAAAGTCAGTCCATCACAACATAGCATAGTTCAGTCTGCTTCCTGCCATGTCAACGGCAATGCGTGTAATTGATAGGCCTATCATGTTTGTTTTTATGTTTTGTGTAAAATGTGATTTATTTATTTATTCTGACGACACATCAAGTGAATCCTTTTGTTACCCTAACGATGGCGGGGATATTCAAATTACCGCCGAAACATATGTAGCACTCGTTACTACATATCAAGGATTGTCTGACGAGGTACTTTTAGCCATTATTTGTCATTAAAAATTAAGTCAATTGTAAAACTTTAATCGTTTAACTTTTTTTATATTTGCCCAGAGGTTTTTCTATTTCCACTGGTTCTTTCCTCAATAAGTCTTCCCGTAGCTACGCAAGATGATTACTAATAAAAGTGTTCTAGAAACAAAAGTATATCTACCAGATATTCTTCAGGCACATCAAAGACTTGCTGATCTCCCTTGGGGACAAAGACGGGCTCCAGGGGACGCTCATACAGCAGCAGCAGATGTTGAAGGGCCTTGGAGGTCATGCTGACAGTTTGGGCTATCTTTAAAGAAACAAAATGTAATTAGTAAAATGATTTCTTCTTGTTGTAATATTTTGTCATAGAATACTTCATGTTACAACAAACTTGCAGCTTTGTGAATTTTTTGATGAGTGAATTTTGATTAGAGGAGTGTACTGTATATAATATAATGACTAGACTTATATTTTTTCTACATAATAACAAGTATAGTGGCTGAATGAGTAAATCAGGTCTGCTGCAATTATGGATGGATAATAGAACGGCCACCTTTAAGTCCAGGCCGCAACCTGGTAGAATTGGCAACCTTGCAAGTAGTGTTGTTTAGCGCCAGATGTCCGTCCTGTAAGATAACATGGCAGACAGGTGATACCAGCTCATTAATTCATGTATTATTTAAATGTATGAATATAAATTTATTAAAATATTGTAAATAAAACATATCTATATATATAATACGCTACATGAAACTTTGTGAACAATAAGGTTTTTTTTTGTTTTAAGATTTCACACCACATATTTTATACCAAAATGTTCGTCTAGATGAGTAGATTTGCAAACTGGCCTTACATTTTTGAAAAAGTCCTTAGGCTCAGCCCCAGTAGCTTTTAAAGTTCCCATGTTATCATGAAATATCATGGTTCTTATGAAGAACATTTGTTTACCTTTTGATCAGCTGGATAATTTTATTGCTGTTAATATTTAAGTTGCAATTTAAGGAAACGTGTGCTACAAAACATTTACTGACTTCGTTGAAATGAAATATTTAGTATTTAATTTGATTTGGCGTAAATATTTTTTTGTCCTAGGATGCTAGGCACGAGCCCGGAATTGTTTTTCACATTACTTCAGGCTAGAACTAGGGGTTACGGCATTATCCCTTAGATAAAATCCATTGGTGATTTGTCGGGATTTGAACCTGGGACCCCAGGAACCGGAGTCCCGCGCTCTAACCGCTAGACCAGCTCGCTCCCCCTGGCGTAAATATTACAATGGAAATAAAGCGATAAGCCTGGACAATTTGATATACTACAAACACTGTGCTGAATTTCTTAAGCAATCATTGAAAGAGCCGATTTGCAAACTATGGAAACATAGGAAAGTCATAGAACACCACCAAGGAGAAGAAATAGAAGATTATATCGATCTGTTATGTACATCTTGAGTGTTTCCATGATCTTTGAGTCGAATCTTTTAAAGTCATCAGAAATTAAAATCACGCCCGTGATACTTAGCAATTGCTCGATATCGAGCAACAGGTACACTAGTATCCACTCAAAACTCAAACGAAAGAATTTTGACGAAAACAATAGTTTATACTCCAATAGTCAATGATACTAAGGGAAGAAAGTAAATTGCGTGCTAGACTTCACCTAATTTCAAAAGAGCTAGTTAATATATAAAAATAAAACATAGTGTTTGATTGGATTGCAAATATTGAAATGTTAGTAAATACACTTAAAGCACACTTTGGAAACAACCCATGGTTAATTCTACAAATATTATAGGTAAGAATATAAAATAAAAACATATATATATAAAATACTAAAAACTATATGGGCTATACATATAGTGATCAAAATAAAATGTATGATAAAACTGAATATGTGAACTGTGTTTTAACTACCAAGAAAGTACTAAGAACTTAAGTGTTGAAATTATTTTATTTAAATTGTTTACTATTTAAGGTGCGTTGTCCAAGGCGCGTCTGTTGCGTCTGACGCAGAGCGATGATCGCTGGGCGTCGATCGCTTGGAGGCCCGTTGTCCAAGAACGCGTCTATTCAGTTCAACAGTTGGTTGCTGACTGTGTTAAAATGTATTTTGCTCTCACTTTTAGCGTAAAGAGCCAAGTGTTGAAGATCCTATTCATCGAAGAGATAGAAAACGAGAACATTCTGGACCTTTAGTGAACCTCGATTGCGTACCCACAGTGTTTTCAAAGAGAGAAGTGAGGAAGGATGTTTTAAAATACTTATCAAAAACCACTTTAATGCAGACAAGAGGCTGAAAGTGATTTTTTTTTACTTTTAAAGGAAACGGTTTAAGTTCTTTTAAATCCTTTAAAGTTTAAGTTGTAATCATTTAACTGAACATTAATTTATTATTATTTTGAAAATTTTCTTGACTTAAATACAGATATCCCCTATTCTAAATAACTCCCAATATGTAATCCATAGCTAAAATAAAAGTCGATACTATGGTGAATTATTTTAGACTATAAAGAGTTTTGGGAGTTTATTGGGAATAGATATATTATGTCTTTAACTGAAGATAAATTTTGAAATAAAAATAATTTAATGTTAAATTAAGATCTATGACTCATTTTAAATTTGTTGGATTTTCTTTAGTGATTAATCAAATTAAAGCCAAACATTTACTGAGTAATTTGAGACCAGAGAGACCTTGGGCCGTATTAACAACCCAAGATATAAATATTTTAATAAAAACAAATTTCTAAAAAAGTTAGATTTAATATTGTGTTTTTGTTCGTAGCGGGTCTCTAACTCGTCTGATTTTAATGATCAATAGCTCAAATGGAAGCCCTTACATTACTGAATATTTTAAGGTTGAAACGAACTGCAAGCGTTAATAAGAACGGAGATATTTTTAAAAATGTTTAAAAAAATGATAAAAGTACGAAACGTCTATAAGAAATGTATGGGGGAGAGTTTTTGTTTGAATATCTTTAAAACGAAAAAAAATAAAAACGGATTTCCGCATTGAAATCAGCATGAAAATCTAGTTTTGTAAATGATGTGTCACAACACTATCTTTACATAAAAACAATATGGCGGATCCATGATGGCGGCCATAAACGTGTTTCCTATCGAAATGAAGTACTAACCACCCAATAAATACTGGTGGTGGTCTTTAGTCAATATCTCAAAAATGTGCATAAAAAATGCATGTGGAATCATTTTTTATTATTTTTCCAATGTTGGGAAAAGCCACCATTTTTTATAATGATTTAAGGGGGTTTCCCATGGACCGATTTTTGGCAACCTTTAGTATGTCACTCAGCAGACCCAACACTACAAAATAAAACCCTAAAACATTTTCTTGCAATTTTTTTAGGTCATATCCTATATTTCTTTGACTATAGCCATTACATTAAGATACTGTATATTATGGAGTATACGGGAGAACACAGAAACAACAATGCAATAGACGCTGGCCGTCAGCGATCCCGTCTGCTCCCGGAGCAGTGCCCCGCGTCAGACGCTCAGCGTCTCAAGCGTCAGACGCTAGAGACGCTCCCTTGGACAACGGGCCCATTGAAATCAATGCTTAGGCTAGGCGCACACGAGCGATTATTTTGAGGCGACAATTTCATCGGCCGATCTGTGCATCATGTATTTGAATGGAAGCGCGCACACAGGCGATCGAGAATTGCGCCGATTTTAAAATCTGGGTTTTGCCACAGATTCGTAGGCGAGGAGATTGTCGCCCGAAAATCTGTAACGTACAGATTGTTATCATTCCGCGCACACGGTCGACTAAAAAATCGGCCAGTCGCTTGTTGTTCTCCACAGGAGTCAGTGAACTTCAGTGTGAGTTGTGTTGTTTTCTTTGCTAAAAAAGGCCACAGCTGTTAAAATAAAAACTGAAACTTTCAACAGACATTCTATAGTAATTAAAGAACTTTTTACTGTCATCACGTAAAGTGCATTGTTTATCAAACTGTCGATTTAAAAGTCTCTGACTTACTATCGGATTAACCCAATATTAATGTTGTCTGCTTTTTTTCTTTGGTCTAATTAGAAGAGCACAAACACAGGTTAATTCAACAAAGTCCATTTTAGGATAGCTTAAATGCACTCAAAAAAATCCATTTCCCGACTAAAAAATCGCCTAGACATAAATCAAGGGCGATTTATTTTTGGCCGATTTTTTAATCGGCCGATCGAAAAATCGACCGTGTGCGCCAGGCCTAGCAGTCACTGAGCGTCCATCGCTAGCGTCTATTACTCAGCGTCAGACGCAACAGACGCGTTCTTGGACAACGGGCCTTTAAATTTAAGTATTATAATGCATTGACAAATGTCCTGTCATTTTATGATGTAATGGCATTCTGTAAATAAATAAAAAAATGAAAAAGAATGACAGTCCAGTAAGTAAAACATGTGTGTTTGTATACAAAATAATAAATAAACGGTATCAGCATTCTGACACATACTTTCTCCCATAAGTTTGTCAACAACCTTTATCATGTGTAAGCGGTGAGAGTAAATATATAAGGAAATGGGATTTGTACAATTTTGTTCAGAATTTAAAGGACTATAACATACTAAATTTTTATCAACTAAATCGTTCGGGCCATTTTTGGGAAAATCCGATTTTTCTGTTATTTTATGGGGTTTTATGGGAAAATGACATAATTTACAATAACTTTTGAACCGTAATTTTTACAGAAATGGGATTTGTACCATTTTGTTCAGAATATAAAGGACTATAACATACTACATTTTTATCAAAATCGTTCGGGCCATTTTTGGGAAAATCCTATTTTTCCATTATTTTATGGGTTTTATGGGAAAATCCCCATTAAAAATTAAAATTTCTAAAAAATAAAAAAACACCATCAAAATTGTAAGGAACATAACATACTATGTTAAATCAAAACCGGATTTTTTTCTAAAATCCTATTTTTTGTTATTTTATGGGGTTTTTATGGGAAAATAACATATTTGACCATAACTTTTGAACCGTAATTTTTACAGAAATGGGATTTGTACCATTTTATTCAGAACTTAAAGGGCTACAACATACTACATTTTTATCAAAATCGTTCGGGCCATTTTTGAGAAAATCCGATTTTTCCGGTTTTTTATGGGCACCAAGTAAAAGAAATAGAAATAATGTTTTTTTTTTAATTTTTAATCGTTATTATTGACAACTTAATGCGGCTATGAGTGGGAAACATTTGTAGAAAACACTAAAAACAAGACCATCTTTTGAAAAGTGATAAGAAATTTACAAGATATGTTGTTTATATCGAACTGTTATGTACATCGTAAGTATTTCCATAATCTTTGAGTTGACTCTTTTTAAGTCATTGGAAATTATGACCAATACACATTATAAATTGAAAATCTATTTATGTACATTTAATGGAATCAATATTTTCATAGCCCAGTAACCATGCACACCAAGTAACCAAGTCGTATTCTTAAAACATACACAAATACTATTAGCTACCTCCAAACAAAACAGCTGTAACAACACTACTTGCGATGTTGCCACTTAGATGACCGCTGCTTAGAGATAAATGTGGCCTTGATAATTGTATATTACATTATACTTGTCCGAAAAATAGGTGTTTACCAGATGAGTGTGGTTCTTCTCGTGTGACAAGTCCAGTAAACGAGTCTTGACGAATGACTTACAATATTTTTTGCCATACTACTCTAAACTAACCTAACAATACAAAAAATAAAAAACCGCAAAATATTTCCACTGACTAAAAGGATTAACAATCACTACTCATAACCTCTAACAGAGGTTATGTTTTTGTTTACTTATTGCCAAATATATTCAGCTGGTGTCCAGTAAAAACTCATTACCATACAGTGGTACGTAATGAAACCCCATTTGCTTAAGGAGGCGGCAGACAGCTGTTTTCCGAACTAAATCCTTACTTGGAAAGTTTGTTAAAAAGTGTAGTGTAGGGAAAAATAATTCAAAGTGTTAGCTTTTATATTATAAAACCAAAGTCTTGTGCAAAACTTGGCACACAGTTACTGGGCATTATAATCTTTTTAACACATTATTCAGTGATAGGCTATCTTCTCAGGGGGACGGCCCGCTAGGAGTCAGAAGAAAATCTTAAATGTAAGCATAGGTTGATATGCACATCAAATCAAAGGGGTTTATTGTTAGGAAAACTGAATGCTGCAAACCCAAACTCAAATGAACAACCGATTAATAAATTACAGCTGTTCAAAGATTAGTTGAACTTGCAATGCTATTATATGCTACCTCCTCAAAGGGGCTCCCACTATGAATCGGAAAAAAATCATAAATGTAAGCATAGGTTGATATGGACATCAAATGTATTTACTAGTAGAATGCAATGCCACAAATTCAAGCTAATAAAATAACAACTGAGTCATAAATGGCAGCCAAGAAGATTCAAAATGGCAGATTCTAGAAATCTTTAAATGACATGGGGATGGAATGTCTAGTTGTATAAATAAAGCTAATAAAAGCTTACTTGGTTTTTGATGGATGAATACATTTGTGAAAATCACGTACATACAGAAAACCAGACATGTTAGACCTATATGTTTATCCAATGATTTTTCATTGTTTTGACCCAAGGAACAAATACACAAAAGCTGCCCAGAGTGTTAGGATACACCCTGTTTTTACAGCACATAGATTTTAAAAACGTTAAACATATTAATTGTTTATCTATATCAGATAAAGAGGCTTGACTGAAATTGAAGCATTAGGGCAAAACATCTTTATTTTACAAAACATCATTATCAACTGATTTATTTTATTGATGGTAGGTATGTTGTTTTGGATATATTTAATTCAAATGTAAGTGGAGTTTTGAAAGTAAGTAGGTCTACACTTTTAAATTTTATCTTTTTTGACTAAATCATACAGTTACAGTATTTCAAACACGAATGCACCACTTTGTCTTTGCTTGTCTAGGAAATCATCTGAGTTTATAGAAAAGAATTTCAGTGGGAAAGTAAAATTCTGTTACTAAATTGAACGATAACGGGATGTACAAACTCTCTCCAACGCTTTTGTATATTTTTTTCCTTAGGTCGAAACAATGAAAGAAAAAACAACATAAAAACATGGGTCTAAAATTCCTAGTTTTCTGTCTCTATGTGTGTGATTTTTACAAATTTATCCATGACTTTCTAATCCCAATTAACTTTAAACTTGGTACATCAGTAGTGACCGATAGGAAAAAACTTTTCACAAAGTACCAAACTTCTAAATACTAGTAGTACGCTTATTCTGCGCGTAACGGGATGAGTGTACGTGAGCGCAAAAATGGAAGAGTACACCCGCACCTAGCCTACTTACCGGTGTCACTGGTGAACACAATGTTATTTGTATGGGCAAATCAACCAAATCTCAGTTAACAACAATCCTAACTTCTCGTCCATTAATTAACCAAAGTTAGATGCATTAATCTAACTGCCACCAACGGTTCCCATACACCAGCACGTGTAGCACGCGAACCTTCTTATAAATAAATCATTTAAGAAGGCAAATTCCCATCCGCCATAAAAGTCAGTAAAATATACCCCAAACATAAAAAAGGACCAACTGAAAATGCTCAAAACTACAGGCCCATTTCTCTCATCTCCAGTTTCTCTAAAATCATAGAACAAATTGCTCTGGCTAGATTAATGGCACATCTTAATCATAACAAACTCTTAACTGACAACCAACATGGCTTTCGGAAGAATAAATCTACATCCTCAGCTATAACAGCTCTAATTGAGTACGTCCTAGACCAGATAGAAAACGAACAATACATTTCCGCGATCTTCCTTGATTACAGTAAGGCTTTTGACTGCCTGGGCCACGACCTGATATGCAAGAAACTCGAAAGACTCGGTATAAGAAACTCTGCGCTAGAATGGTTCAAAAGCTACCAAACGTCCCGTTCACAAGTCGTGGAACTGAAAAACTCATCAAATGAAGTCACAGAAAGTTTCAAATCTTCAAAAAGCAAGCTGATGAGAGGAGTTTCACAAGGCTCTGTATTAGGCCCGATTCTATTCATCTTATTGACTAATGACTACCCCAAACAAATTGAGAGTGAAAATGCTGTTCCAATCATGTATGCAGATGACACAACCATTTTGATCAAGGACAACACAGCCCAAAGCCTTTACCTTAATTCAAAATCGATCTTAAATAAAGCTATCCTCTACTCAAAGAACAATGACTTAGCATATAAACCCCACAAAAACTACAACTCTGAATTTCAGTAAGAAAAAAGACATAGTCCCTCAATTAGAGGATGTAACAATAGAAAACCACAAGAAATTTCTCGGTGTTATATCCTTGATAACAAACTAACATGGAAAGAGCACATCAACCACCTAAGCAAAAAAATCAGTACTGGAATATATGTCGTCAGAAGAATAAAACTACATAGGCGGACTCTCTGTGGCCAAAACAGCTTACTTCACACTGGTAGAGTCACATCTTAGATATGGCTTGACAGTGTGGGGAGGAACTTCAACAAAAAATATGAATCAAATTCTTGTCCTTCAAAAGAAAGCCATAAGAGCCCTCGCCAACCTTGTCCCACCACAGACTTGCAGATTAGCATTCGCAAACCTAGGAATCCTCACAGTGGTGTCTCTCTACATACTTGAAACCATAAAGTATGTGAATGAAATAAACCCCCCAAGAAACCAAGACCTGCACCACTACAACACCCGTCATGGCTCCAAATTTGCACTACCAGTTCACCAAACAACTCTTTGGGAGAAAAAACCTTCCTACACCGGCTGCAAGCTGAGGAACCATCTACCTGACTACCTGAGATACCTGACTGGCAACAAGCTACACCAGGAGTTGAAGAAGTGGCTAATCGCAAGACCCTTCTACTCAATAAAGGAATTTTATGAAAATTATGGAAATTAACATGTAAAATTCACTATTGTATTGACACTATTGTAATTCTTAACGAATTAACAATAAAGAATATTGTATTGTATTATAAGACTAATGTAAAAAAAATGTGACTTTCAGTTTCATTTTTCTACGCAATTAAATTTTAGTTGGCAGTTCTAACTGCAGTAAACTCGTAATTAGGCCAGAAATAAACTACTTACAACATTTGAAGAAAATCGTTGGAGCCGTTTTCAAGATCTTTGTGCAAACATACATACATACATACAAGCAAACATTGCTCGTATTAGAGTATAGGATAAACTACTTACAACATTTGTACAACGTAGTAGACATGCTTCCCTCCCTTCTCATAGCATTTCAGAATTGCAGATTCATTAATCTAACTGTCACAAAGGGTTCCCACACCCCGGACTGCTCGCCTTGACTACTCCCTTCTCCTTCAACACCTTCTACGTCTTGGACATGTTTCCCTCCCTTCCTATGGCATAAGCATTTGAGTATTGCAGATAAATTAATGTAACTGTCACAAAGTGTTCCCACTCTCCGGACTGCTTGTCTTAAACTACTTCCTTCACCATTTCCTACGTCGTGGACCTATTTCCCTCCCTTCCTATAGCATTTTACAATAATTGCAGTTACATAAATCTAACTGTCACCAAGGGTTCCCACACTCCAGACTTCTCGCCTTGACTACTTCCTTTATCACTTCCTACGTCGTAGGCCTGTTTCCCTCCCTTCTCATAGCATTTTATTATTGCAGATACATTATTCTATCTGGCACAAAGGGTTCCCACACTTCGGACTGCTTGCCCTGGCTACTTCCTTCACCACTTCCTTCGCCGTGGACCTGTTTCCCTCCCTTCCCATAGCCTTTTAGAATTGCAGATAAATTAATCTAACTATCACAAAGGGTTCTCACATTCCGGACTGCTCCCCTTGACTACTTCCTTCACCACTTCCTTCGTTGTGGACCTGTTTCCCTCCCTTCCCATAGCTTTTTTAGAATTGCAGATACATTATTCTAACTGCCACTAAGGCTTCCCATACTCCAGACTGCTCGCCTTGACTACTTCCTTCACCACTTCCCACGTCGTGGACCTTTTTCCCTCCCTTCCCATAACATTTTAGAATTGCAGATACATTAATCTACTATCACATTCCGGACTGCTCCCCTTGACTACTTCCTTCACCACTTCCTTCGTTGTGGACCTGTTTCCCTCCCTTCCCATAGCTTTTTTAGAATTGCAGATAAATTAATCTAACTATCACAAAGGGTTCTCACATTCCGGACTGCTCCCCTTGACTACTTCCTTCACCACTTCCTTCGTTGTGGACCTGTTTCCCTCCCTTCCCATAGCTTTTTTAGAATTGCAGATACATTATTCTAACTATCACTAAGGCTTCCCACACTCCGGACTGTTCGCATTGACTACTTCCTTCACCACTTCCTTCGTCGTGGGCCCGTATCCTTCCCTTCCCATAGCATTTTAGTATTACAGATACATTAATTTTACAGTCACAAAGGGTTTTTACACTCCACATTGCTCACCTTTACCACTTCCTTCACCACTCCCTACGTCGTGGACCTGTTTTCCTCCCTCGCATAGCATTTTAGTATAAAGATAGACAAACATCTTTGACTATTTAATAGTCAATGCCAAAATTAAATTGAATAATATAAAAAGCTGCTTACTTCTAATTATATACATATATTTTTAATGTAAATGTGAATTTTAAAACTGAACATAAACTGTATATAACTGCCGACTAATATTGTTAAGTTCAATTTATTATTCTGAAAGTTGTGAAATATAATGATATACAGGGTGATTGATATAAGTGTGCCAGCCGTTTTATTCTAAAACTATAAGAGATATCAAAAAAAGTTAAATGGTAAGTGCCTTGGATTTTTTATTTTAAAAATTTTAGTCAAGTCAAAAAAATTATTTTAGCCACCATTTTTCCAATATGGCCACCAACTTTGATTTTTCTTACGGAACACCCTGTATTTTATGATGTATTCCGGTAGAAAATGTAATTTTAAGACGATTTTATTCTTGGGATTTTTTTCATAAACCTAACCGTTTCAAAGATAATAATGTTTAAAGTTTTAAAAATTAGGCATAAGAAAGAGTTTCGATAAAGGCCTAAGCAAGCATGCCAGCTGTTTTATTAAAAAACTATTCAAAATTTCACAACTTTAACCATTATTATCTTTGAAACGGTTAGGTTTATGAAAAAAATAACAAGAATAAAATCGTCTTAAAATTACATTTTCTACTGGAATACATCATGAAATACAGGGTGTTCCATAAGAAATATCAAAGTTGGCGGCCATATTGGAAAAATGGCGGCAAAAAATTTTTTTTCGATTTGACTACAATTTTTAAAATGAAAAATCCAAGGCACTTACCATTTAACTTATTTTGATATCTCTTATGGTTTTCGAATAAAACGGCTGGCACACTTATATCAATCACCCTGTATTTTCAAACGGTTTACTCCATGAATGAAAGAGCTTAGAGTAAAAGTCGTTCTCTCTGTCTTAAGTAGTCAACAAAATTGTTGGTCGCAAAACGTAAACAAATAAAAGGAAGAAGAAGGTAGCTTCTAATGTTATTCTTATGGGACAAATTAAAAAAAAAATTTTTAGGGTTTTATAATTATTACTGAGCGGAATCATCTAGAATTTTAATGGTG